AGTAATCGATTTATGATTTGCTCATACCATCGATGGATTTTGCTTGTGTCGTCATTTCCATTCCTGGTGGTGTTCATGTTGTATTGATTAATTCGTCTCGTATTGAGACTGAGAGGCTCCCTACACTTAACATAAACATCGTTTTAACATTGTTTTAACATGCACCCAGTGTGTGTCAGACGTCGGTAAGACGTACAGCCTGTCTGGCCTTTTTCTCTGGAAAGTTTTGATCTTGACCGCGATCAATTTAAACAAGTTAATAAAAAGTCTAGTGACAATTTAAGCGAAATTTCCTTAATTAATTTTTTTGTGACCGAACGAAAGGATATTTTTGAAAACGTTCTTCGGCAATATTGTTCTAAATTATGGCAGGAATCGATTGGTAAATTGGTAAATGTTTCAAGTCGCTAAGTGGTCTGGTTGCCGAGATATGGGCCAAAAACTGCATTTTTTCGAGGTTTTTTGGCTTTTCCGGGAAATCCAGGAAGGAAACCCGGGAATTTTTTTGGCCCACACTCATCCTCGGAACTTGCTTAACATATTTGCTTTGGAACTAGTCCTCGATATTGCTTCGTTGAGGAGGAGATAAGACTTAAAGCTGCGGACACACATCGGACACACATCGGACACACATCCATCCAGAACGAGTTAATAATCGCAATTGTCCGCATGGAAATTGCGCTAAAAAGTATGTTAGAAAAATCACTAGAGTAAATAAAAAAAAGTAAAAGTTTCCCTTTCAAACCTGACGGTCTATGGAGCAAGTGAAGTAGAGTTCACTTGTTTCTGTGACCTCGGCATATGAAGAGATAGTGTGGTCTACACTATGCCCAGCCGCCTTTACTTTCCCTAATGTGAGTTAGGTACCCATCAGAGTTGGGTGGACTCAGGAACGGTCTACTGACTTGAACCCGGATTCGAACTCAAGACTTAGCAGTCCAGCTCTCTACCGCTAGACTACTCCGTCCCCTACTTGAGTAAATAAACCTCCTAAATTTTCAAGTAATGGTCTGGGTATTGGTTCTCGTAAGGATTGTCCCTTGAGGGATACAAAACTGGGTGGGACGGCGTGGTTGGATGGTAGTGCATACGTCTGATATCCCGAAAGTCTCAAGTTTGAATCCTGGGTTCACGTTAGAAGAACTTCTGTGAAAACCCCTGCTCTGATGGATACTTGGCTCACGTTAAAGAAAGTCAAGACGACTGGACATAGTGCTGACCACGCTATCCCGTCATATGTCGTGGTAACTGAAAGAGATAAACTCTACTTCACCTACCATACGGACCATCAGGTTCATAAAGGTACTTTACCTTAAGTTATGAGGCCAACAACAGTCGCCACAAATGAGAACTAGGACGCAAGAATAATGGCGTCATCACAGCTTAGAAAATATCACTGATATTTTTCATAGTGGTGTAGACTTCAGTTTAGTTGACATAAAGAAAGATTATTTTTACACTTTTTTTTACACTGTAATAATTTCAACTTTTTAGAACACATAAGCTATTAACAAAAGAGATGCAACAGTATGTTTCATAAAACTTATTTATTCAAAACCTTTTAATATATCCCAGTACACATAGTCAGTGGCGTAGCGAGGTCGGGTGTCACCCGGTGCGGCACTTAATTGTGCCACCCCCTCAGAGGCGTAGCGACCCTCCCCGTCGAACTTTCGATTTGCACCCCCCTTCAAACTTTCGATTTGCACCCCCTCAAATATATATTTTACTATTTTTTGCCTTGGTGTCACCCCCCCCCCCCCTAAATGGTGTCACCCGGTGCGGTCCGCACCCCCCCGCCCCCCCCCCCCCCCCCCTCGCTACGCCTCTGCACATAGTGTTACATTTTTACAGAACATATCTACAATAAGACGTATAAAAATTAGAGTTCCAGCACATTCCTTGACCAGATGTATTCACCTTACTGCCAGACCCACGTCTGTACCATCACTCAACAATAAAATTAACACCCCCCCCCCCTCCCAATCTTCATTAATCAGGCTGGCGTTCCCCACCCCCCTTCACATTATTTATTATAATTAAACAATAATGTATTCTAACACGCCGCGTACAAACGAGGCTTCAAAGAGACATCCCGACATACAAGGGTGCAGCTGGTTTAACGCTTACATAGCTGAAGAGGTTCACATTATCAAGTAGCGAACAGTTGAGAGGTTCACATGATCAAGTAGCGAACAGTTGAGAGGATCACATTATCAAGTAGCGAACAGTTGAAAGGTTCACATTATCAAGTAGCGAACAGTTGAGAGGTTCACATTATCAAGTAGCGAACAGCTGAGAGGTTCACATTATCAAGTAGCGAACAGTTATCACCATTGACAATCAGGCTAGGCTATACGTAATGATGATTGTAATTTTTTAAAAGAAATACATGTGTCATTAATGTGAGATCACTTTTAAAAATGCTGCTAACTTCCTCATTGTATTAGGAGATTTTTTATAATTAGGTAAGTGAGGTAATTTGAATTTAATTATAAATGGTAATAAAAATTATATAAGCTAGGAGACTGTACCTGACTCATAGATGTATAGCGTGGACAGATGTGAATTTGATGACAATTCGTAAGCAAAGAGAATTCAACCAGAAGAGTATCAACTTTAGGGACTAATGGTGTCTAGCCTCGCTTTTGTTTCTTTATCCAAAAATTAATTTAACATGGTGAAGGAATTTAAAGAACGTTTTTACAACATACGTCTTTTTTTAAACATTTTTAAGCTCAACGTGAAGAAGAAACGACTTCATTGAATAAAAGTTGCTTTAAAGTAAAATAAACAATCGGCATTTGGCTGTGGCTGACAAGTTATTCATAATTTAAAAAAAATTTAATAAAGTATTTTGATATATACATTTATTGTATTTTGATTAAATAAAATATTAGAATAAAATATTTTTGGATGTTAGTTACCGCCACACTGTAGAATGAGTAGAATGGCTGGCTGCGATTTGCACCCCCCCCCCCCTCAAACTGTTGATTTACAACCCCCACCCCCTCAAACTTTCAATTTGTTTTTCCAACTCATTTTGGCGCCCCCTAAGGTCGGCGCCCGGGGACATATGCCCCCTCGCCCCTCCCCCCCCTCGCTACGCCTCTGTATGTAGCTTTAATTATTTATTTAAAGTAACTAGATAAAGTTTATAACCAGATGCGTAAAGATTATAGTCACCCAATTACTTAACTAGATGTGTCTCGTTTACCCCCCCCCTCCTACCATCACCTGACTAGATGTGTCCAAGGTTATAGCCCTCTCCCCCCCCAACATCAGGACCAGATGTTTCAAGGTTATAACCCCATCTCCCCCCCTCCCCCTCCCCCCACCATCACCTGAACAGATGTGTCAATGTTATAGCCCCCTCCCCCACCATATTCTGACCAGATGGTGTCAAGTTTATAACCCCTTACCCTTATCACCTGAACAGATGTGTCAAGTTTATATCCCCCCCCCCCCCTCACCATCACCTGACCAGATGTGTCAAGGTTGTAGCCCCCCCCTCCTGCACGATCACCAGACCAGATGTGTCAAGTATAACCCCCCACCTCCCCCCACAATCATCTGCCCAGATGTGTCAAGTTTATAGCCCCCTCCCTCCCCCATCACCTGACCAGATGTGTCAAGGTTACCTCCCCTTTCCTACCTACAATCACCTGACCAGATGTGTCAAGTTTATAACCCCCCCTCCCCCCAATCACCTGACCACCAGATGTAGAAGACCCATCACCTGAGCAAATGTGTCAAGTTTATAACCCCCCCTCCCCTGACCATCACCTGACCAGATGTGTCAAGTTTATCTCCCCTCCCACGACCATCACCTGACCAGATGTGTCAAGTTTATAACCCCCCCTCCCCCCCAATCACCTGACCAACAGATGTAGAAGACCCATCACCTGACCAGATGTGTCAAGTTTATAACCCCCCTCCCACGACCATCACCTGACCAGATGTGTCAAGTTTATAACCCCCCTCCCACGACCATCACCTGACCAGATGTGTCAAGTTTATAACCCCCCCCTCCCCCCAATCACCTGACCACCAGATGTAGAAGACCCCATCACCTGACCAGATGTGTCAAGTTTATAACCCCCCTCCCCTGACCATCACCTGACCAAATGTGTCAAGTTTATAACCCCCCCTCCCACGACCATCACCTGACCATATGTGTCCAAGTTTATAACCCCCTCCCCTGACCATCACCTGACCAGATGTGTCAAGTTTATAACCCCCCTCCCCACGACCATCACCTGACCAGATGTGTCAAGTTTATCTCCCCTCCCCTGACCATCACCTGACCAAATGTGTCAAGTTTATAACCCCCCCTCCCACGACCATCACCTGACCATATGTGTCAAGTTTATAACCCCCTCCCACGACCATCACCTGACCAAATGTGTCAAGTTTATAACCCCCCTCCCACGACCATCACCTGACCAGATGTGTCAAGTTATCTCCCCTCCCCTGACCATCACCTGACCAAATGTGTCAAGTTTATAACCCCCCCTCCCACGACCATCACCTGACCAAATGTGTCAAGTTTATCTCCCCTCCCCTGACCATCACCTGACCAAATGTGTCAAGTTTATAACCCCCCTCCCCCCAATCACCTGACCACCAGATGTAGAAGACCCATCACCTGACCAAATGTGTCAAGTTTATAAACCCCCTCCCCTGACCATCACCTGACCAGATGTGTCAAGTTTATAACCCCCCTCCCCCCAATCACCTGACCACCAGATGTAGAAGACCCATCACCTGACCAAATGTGTCAAGTTTATAAACCCCCTCCCCTGACCATCACCTGACCAGATGTGTCAAGTTTATAACCCCCCTTCCACGACCATCACCTGACCAGATGTGTCAAGTTTATAACCCCCCCCCCCCCTCCCCCCCATCACCTGACCAGATGTAGAAGACTCATCACCTAACCAGATGTGTCAAGGTTATAGTCCCCCCCCCTCCCCATCCCCTCCCCCCCCCCCCCCCCATCATCTGACGAGCTGTAGTAGACCCATCGCCACCAGACCCAGTAGAGACGTGACGATCGTGTAGTAGATTGAAGTGGCCGAGTTTCCCGTGACGTCAATCAGGGGCGCCACAATCCCTAGGCAGATCATGTAGCCAGTGGGCAACATGGAGGCGACCCCTGATATCGCCGCCCCTGTACTCTTGTCTGGGGTCTGTGGTGACACACATAAGAGAACAACGTGTTGAAATAGTCACATTTTGTTTTGTGGCAAAGATATGTACCTACAAGTAAAACTTTTTTCCCCTGATTAATTATATTCTACTTATATTATTTATTATCATCATCATCATCATCATCATCATTATTATGATCATTAATATCATTAATATTATTATTATTATTATTAATGGCACAGTGTATATGAAATATATAAAGATTCGCAATATGTTTGAAATGTGTGTGCGTGAGTGTTTTTATGTGAGTAATTATTACAATGAGGTAAATGCGATTGATTCTAAATTATAAGCAAATCCAACCCTACAGAGTTTCTTCCAGGCATCTCTTCGGGAGTCTCCCACCCGAACGAAATGGAATTTATATAGAAAACGTATACTTTTAACAGTGTCCGCCCCCCCCCCACCCCGGAAAATGTTGTCCCCCCCCCCCCCCCCCAGAAACTATCAAGTGCCCCCCACTCCCCGGGAGAAAAAAGTCTGGAAGAAACACTGCAACCTTAAAACGTTTCTTTCTGTTCAGACTAAAGTATCCAATTGATTCTTTATCTAACGTGCCTGCTTTACTTTAAGGACTAACATACCTGCTCTACTGTAAGGACTAACATATCTGCTCTACTGTAAGGACTAACATATCTGCTATACTGCAAGGACTAACATATCTGCTCTACTGTAAGGACTAACATATCTGCTCTACTGTAAGGACTAACTTATCTGCTCTACTGTAAGGACTAACATATCTGCTATACTGCAAGGACTAACATATCAGCTCTACTGTAAGGACTAACATATCTGCTCTACTGTAAGGACTAACATATCTGCTATACTGCAAGGACTAACATATCTGCTCTACTGTAAGGACTAACATATCTGCTCTTCTGTAAGATCTAACATATCTGCTCTACTGTAAGGACTAACATATCTGCTCTACTGGAAGGATTATCATACTGGCTCTACTGTAAGGATTAACGTACTGGCTCTACTGTAAGGATTAACGTACCTGCTCAACAGCTATCTGACAAGCAAGAATGTAAGGCACGGTATAGACGACAGTTTTGAAGAACCCACTCCACACAGCCATCATGTAAACACACCACACCTCTGCTGTTAAAGCGCACACGATGTTCACGACGATATTCCCCAAAGAAGCTATTAACATTTCCATTTTCCAGCCTGAAATAACATTAAAAAACCCAACTTTGAATAGTTGTAAGAACTCACTGTTTATAGCTAAAACTGTATGCGAACATTTTAAAATATATTCCCAAATAATTATTGTAAACAAAACATTTAACATACTTAATTCACTCAATCGATGCTTAAAGTAATACATTTAAAAAGTATACTTTAACTAGCGTGCCCATCCCCGCGCGTTGCCGCGGGGATAGAAGAAAGTCTGACGAAATATATTAGAAGGGTTTCATCGATGCGTTACCAATCCTATACTCTTAGACGTGTGGGCTCTTTTTTTCTAAAACTTAGTTATTTAAATGTAAAAAATGCCCGTGCTTGGATCATATTTGTCGGGGAACGGGTTTACCTACCGCTTGAAAGCCTTGATTGTACGTTAATCACTCACCGTTATAGTGAGGTAGAACACAATTAGGTGACCGTCCAGGTTTCACGGACGTATAAGGGCGCTCTCGAGAGCCCCCGGTTACATTACCGCAGGGGCGCCGCGTACGGAACCTTAAAAGCAGTCGTGAAAGCAGCCGCCCGTGTCGACAGTTGAAAAAAAACAACAAAGCAGAACTTTTTACTTCCCCTTAGTTTCAAATCGTTTTACAGCTAAATGGTCTGCCCTTAATATCCGTTACTAATTCGAACCGGCTCTACGATTGTAAGACTGGTGGGGTGGGGTGGTAGCGAAATGGTCAGTTGCGCATGTCTGGAGAGGGAGGGAGTGGGCGGGAGAAGGGTTAGATAGTCGGCTTGCGTCGTCTTGTCCATTAAGAGGATTATATATATATAGATACACATTTAACAAGACTTAGTTTCAATAACCTAGATAAGAACACACATTTACCAATTTTACGGAGCAAAAATTCCTGTAAAACATTACAGATAGTGTAAGAGATGTAATAAATCAAAGTCCCACTGGATCCTAGCTCAATCCCCCTCACATAGTTTTTGTACTGCAGGCTACTTGTGTCAGCTTGGGGGTCGCCTCCAAGTATACCTTCACCTGCATTCGTCCAATATAAGATGGCATTAAGGTGATGATTGAGGTATGAGATTGATAAGAACTACAAACAAAATATTGGATAATATTTAAACTAAATTTAATACGTAATATATGTGCATGATAAATGCTACAAATAAGGTAGAATTATTGGTTCAATTTTTTAAAATACATTTCTTACATTATATGCGCATGATGCATGCTACTACTAACATAGCATTTTTGGATTATTTTATAAAACAGGTTTAATACATGATATATGTGCTTGATAAATGTTGCTACTAACATAACATTATTGTATTGTTAAAAAACATTTTGATACAGAACAACCTCTCACTAAAGCTCTTGTAAGTCTTTCATTTGGCATCTATCCTTGTAGCAAGAAATATTCATTGTGCGCATAATGTGTATAAAGTTTCCTTTTCAAACCTGACGGTCTATGGGGCAGATGAAGCAGAGTTTACTTGTTTCTGAGACCTCGGCATATGAAGAGATAGTGTGGTCAGCACTATGCCCAGCCGCCTTTACTTTCCCTAACTTGAGTTAGGTACCCATCAGAGCTAGGTGGACTCAGGGACGGTCTACCGACTTGAACCCGCATTCGAACTCGAGACTTACGGGTTAGTAGTCCAGCTCTCTACTGCTAGACCACTCCGTCCCATAAGGTGTATAAAGATTCCAAATAGTGTGACGTGTGTGGTGTGTGTGTGTGTGAAGAAATGTGGATGTTCGTTCGTCATTCTTCTGTTTAAAAACTGTGTTGAGTTTGTAAACATATATTACACTAACTCTGCCTGTAAATAAACCTCTAACCAATAAAGTTGCTGAAGTAGATCTCATACGAAGTGAGGGAACTGATCAGCAAGCAACTGGACAAGCAGACGACCATCTGTTTTCTCTGACGGTGTAGGTGTCCGCAGACGCCAGACCGTGCCTTGTCCCCAGGACAAACAGTCACACTAAAAAAATAAATCTTTTTGATAACACGAATCTTTATCACAATAGTATCTTCCCTTTACAAATGTATTAAAATAGCGTCGGATTTCTTATTTTTAATTATAGAAATACAATAATTGTTAATATTGGTTGAGACATACCTAATAATTTCTTTATACGACATTCTCCTAGAGGGCTTGCAACAAAATCCAGTGGTCAGCGTAGTGGTCAGTCCTAGAGCCACCAACACCACACACAAACCTGAGAGAATAGCAGTCTGGGCAGCACTAACGTCCATAGAAGTTCCAGCGGTCAGTATGGTTCCTACCCCAACAGACCCTAATACAGCAACTAAACATCCACCTGTATTCCATAATATTTAATTTGTTTTAGTAAATGTTCTTAAAGTCATGACTATGAATGTAAAAGTAAAAGTGATGAATCTATAAATGATGTATATTTTTACAAGCTTTTATTTAGCTTGCTTCCTCTGTCTGTCGTCATAGTTCAAAACTGCCGAGCAAAATTTCTAGCACTTCTAATGACTGATTCGTTTCGAACTTGGCACTTGGATCAAGACCCGATTGAAATTTAATCTGGTATCAAATTGATTTAATTGGATGCCTGGTGCTCTACTAATTACCTCACTATCATGTTCATTTGGTGCGCAGTAAGTTTTAGTCAAGCAACTCTATTGTATTCAAATTTTCAAAGTTTAGAAAAAAAATGCATAAAACGTTTTAATACCAAGCATTTATGTATTATGCACAAAAAGGAGAAAATAAATGATTTCCTTTAAATGTAAAATAATACACTACTATTTAAATAACTATAAAGAAAAGCGTTGGTCACAATATTATCTAGTAAATACATTTACTACAAAATAAGAAGCGACCATGGCTTTTCTTTAGTTATTTAAATAGTAGTGTATTATTATATATTTAAAGAAAGTCATGTAAGTTCTTTTTTATTGCATTATTATATAAAATCTTGTTATAAAATGTTTTTAATGCATTTTTTGTTTAGAATAAATATATCTTATACAGAATAAAATCATTCTACATACCAAGAGATGACAAAAAAATTGCTTTCACTAAAACGCTTTCATGTTCTTCAATAGGCGTGGAAGCAAGGGCAAAAGTCCTTAAGAAACAATTGCTTGGTGCGTACCCACAGTCATTAAGGCTGTACCCAATCATAGCAAGTATCGCATAAAAATGTATCTCTTCATTATCAGGCTCATATCTAGAGGCATATCCAAAACCCTCCCGTTCTGTTAAATTTGATGAATATGTTGATTGATTTATATATGACAATGAATTCAGCTCAGGATAATGCGTTGTCTTTGTGATGAACGCATTTCTTTGTGATACTTCTTTGTTGTCATCAGCGTATACAAACAGCTTGAGACAGTTCGCTGTAAGGACTACTAGCGTGCCAGTCAGCTGTAAACACACGGAGCCGATCAGAAGTTTCGCCTTGAACAGTATCGATACTGCGAGTTTGTCTATGAAATATCCAACCGTGGGAATAAACAGCAGACTGCACACAGCACCAACGATTCCAGAAAGAGAGGAATAACGGACGGGAACGCCCAAAGTCTGGACGTTAGCTATCATGACGATCATCTCCATGGTGATACAGGACTCAATGCCAAGCATGGCCGCTACAAGAAACGTCTGGAACACACCACGGGACTTCATCGTTGCAGAATAAAATATCCTGTTATACTTTATCCGTTTTCTTTTTTTTTTCACATCACTTTGTAAATTTAAACACAAGTTCTAAAAACATGGAAACTGATACAACGCTTATTTTATTAGGATGCATTAGGCAGTATGAAAGGCATGAACAACACTCGTTATGAAACATAGTCAATAATTTATTCAAGTAGGTCGTTGAGGCAATACACGTAACTTCAAAGGCAGCTGTTCAACGGTTCAGCGCAAACATGAAGTATCGTGACATCGCTCCGGGGTGGGGAGGGGGGGGGGGGGGGGTTTGAAAATTTTAATTTTCACAAGAAAATTTTAAAAATTATTAGTTCTAGACTTTTCTGTGATAAACAATTAAACGTCAATTGCAGTTGAATGATGTGGATTGAGGGGGGGGGGGGGGGTGCAAATGGAAATCTCGAGGGGGGGGGGGTGCCAATGGAAATCTCGAGGGGGTGCAAATCGAAAAGTTTGTCCCCGGGCGCTGGGAAGGGTCGCTCTGGTATATGGTGTCACCAGGTGCGGACAGCAACTCCCCCCCCCCCCCCCCCCCCCGCTTTGTGAACACGCATCTCTCTACCAAAGTACTTATTGTTAAAAAAAAAAAAGAACTGAAGCACATTTTATTTTATTCAAATTTTTTGGGGCCCATTATACAATCAACAAATGATCAACTCAAAGTTCTTTAACACTACGAGGGGTGTCGACCTCCAGTGTACAGATGTTGCCTCTTGATGTTAACACGTAGTCTACTCTAATATCTATCGACGGTTGCAAGCATCGAGGTTTACTTGATCCATTGTTATTCATTTTTTTTTCATTTCATAGAATATTTTAATCACAACTAGTATATATACATTGTATATATATATATATATATATATATATATATATATATATATATATATATATATATATATATATATATATATATATATTCATATATCTCAATAAGTTTCAAATATATATTTGTATGTCAGGACTGTAAACATTACCTGAGTGAACATTCAAACTGTTTTAAATGAATCAACAGAAGACTGATGTTTATGGTTTAATCCACGATGTCATTTAAGCATCAGATTTAATTAAAGCGGAGGATTACCGCCAACCCCAGCAAACACGTGACAGCCGTGTAGTAGACGGGGGTGGCCGGGCTGCCTGTGACGTCAATCAGGGGTCCCATGACGGCGGTGGTGACGATGAAGGCCGCGGGTAACATGGAGGCGACGGCTGACATGACGCGCCCTGTGTTCCGGTCACCTGACTGGAGGATTAAGACAACACACTTACATACATAATGGCTTGCTGTATGTTGGTAGACTTTCTTCGGGGGGGGGGGGGGGGGGGAGGGGGGAGGACACTGTTAAAAGTATATATTTTCTATATAAATTATATAAATTTCATTTCGGAGGGGGGGGGGGGGGCTTGGCCTACCCCGAAGAGATGCCTGGAAGAAACTCTGGTTGGGCGGTAGAGCGTTCGGCTGCTAACTCAAAAGTCTTAATTTCGAATGCCGGGCTCGAGTTTGTCTGACGTCACTGAGTCCAGCAGCTGTTATGCAAACCTGAGGCCTCATGGAAAGTAAAGGCGGATGGGTATAGGGCTGGTAAGTAGGTCACCAACCAGCTCTACGGCCCATTAAAACCTGCATGAGCCATATAACTGGTTGATGACCTACTTACCAGCCCTATAGTGCTGACTGCACTATCCCTTCATATTTCATTACAGATAAACCCTACTTCATCTTCAATTTTGACTGTCAGGTCCGATTGTGTAACTACTTAGGAATTAAAATACAGAAACTGTAGAACACACGTTATAAATCCGAAGCATCTTTTAAAGTTAACAATTTTTTAAAACACAATTTAAAAAAATAAATTAGTTACAGACTTTTGAGCCAGAAGTCATGGCATACACTTACATCGCAAACACAATTAAAACGAGTGTTGCCTAATATTAATTAAAATGAAATATTACCTGTACCACAGCTGTTTGATTGGCTAGTATAAAAGGCACAGTGAGAACGACTGTTCTAAAAATACCATCACAAACAGCCGTCAGGTAGAAAGTCCAAAGCGATGACGTGAGACCACACAACAGATTGCACACGAAGTATGCAGCACATGTTGCAAACAGCTCCGTTCTCCAGCCTGTAGAGGTATGCAGAAATATATGGGGTAACATAATGCAGAGGCGTCGCGAAGCGGAGGGGAGGGGGGGGGGGGGGTGCGGACCGCACCGTGTGACACCATTTAGGGAGGAGGTGACACCAAGACCAAAAAAAAAGGCAAGATATATAGATTAAATGTTTTTTGCCAGGCTAGTTCAATGAATGGTTAATTAGAGTTAAAAAAATATTTTAAAAGTACATAATGACTATTGCGACACGGGGGTAGGGGGGGGGGGTAGGGGGGGGGACGACACCATGACGTAAACAGGCAAACTACATAGGCCTATAACTTAAATATATACCTTCTACTGGCACATATATGTGTATAAGCTTTAATCACTGCAGACGTAATAGTAACGATGTCTATTTAAAGTCTGTCAATAATACCGTTCAATGTAGCATTGATGTCTCTACAGGTGTTATGATGTCACCCCCCATCCTCTTGTAATAAATGTCGATTCGTACTTAAAAGACTATTTAACTTTAATTAATCATTAATGGATCAGGTAAAAAGGCATTTTTCTTCTGTACATTTTGTAATTTTTTGCCCTGGCGTCACCCCCCCCCCTAAATGATGTTCGCCCCCAGCACCCGCCCTCGCTACGCCCCTGCATCAGATAACTGAAACTACATGAACTTTAATGTTGTCCCCCATCCCGCTACCTGTACCGGAAGATGTCTTTCTGTTTTTTATTATTATAATATACTAGCGTACCCGTCCCCGCGCGTTGCCGCGGGGATAGAAGAAAGTTTGACGAAATATATTAGGATTTCACCAACGCGTTATCAATTATAATTATATGTTCTTAGACGCGTGACCTTCTTTTCTAAAAATGAGTTATTTAAATGTAAACAATGCCTGCGCTTTGATCATAAATATCAGGACATCATCTCCCCAAAGTTTCATGGTACACGGATGAACGGTGTGAAACCGAAATTTTATAAACCGTATATAGAGAAAAATCGCAGCCTCCCGTGGCGCCACCCTTGCGAAATTAAAAAAGGATTTTTTTATAGAACCCTTCCCTATATTGTTCTATTCAACTCCCCCAAAGTCTCATGGCTTTCGAATAACGGTGTCACACCAGAATCGACTTTTATTTTTATATACCGTATATAGAGAAAAATCGCAACCTCCCGTGGCGCCGCCCTTGCGAAATTAAAAATGATTCTTTTACAGAACCCTTCCCTAGAGTTTTATAATGAAATCCCCAAAGTTTTCATGAACGATGCCAAACCAAAATCGACTTTATTTTTATGTACCGTTAATCGAAAAAATAAATCGCGCCCTATCGGGGCGCCACCCCTGCGAATTTGAATTTTTTTTTTCGCAGAAACCTCCCCAGGAATATTCTCAACAACTTCCCAAAGTTTCACGGCGATGTGATTAGAGGTGTAGTAATGCATAAAGGACAAACACACAGACACACAGACACACATACATTGCTTTATATATATATATATATATATATAATTAAAGATTTAACCATTCAGAAAAAGCAAACTTTCTCATTAAATTTTGCTTTAATTTTTAAATTGAGTCACATTGTGCCCCTCTCCGTCTAAGCTAGCTACGCGTTGAGATCAAGAAATTAAATATTTCATATTTCCCACATTTTGCCTTGTGTTGATTTAGACTGACAGTTTAATTCTTTACACTAATTAATTACCAGTTAATTTGTTGAGTGGAGAGCGACGTCATTTAAAAATCTATAGTAACACGTATATTTTAATTCTGTAAATGACGCACAGATGGTGCAGTCTGTTCAAACTATGTAAAGTGTTTACTCTGAATATTGATTATAACTCGATTAAAACATAATTACATTCACAGCTGCAAAGTAATTTAAAAAACTTTTTTTTTCTATTAAAAAAAAGAACAAAATATTGGAACGAAACAAACATGTTTTTTACCGATTCTCGCAAGCATAATTTCCTGGCAACTGTTGAAGAGAGTGAATGAGACGTAATAAATCAAAGTCCCACTGGATCCTATCTCAATCCCCCTCACATAGTTTTTGTACTGCTGGCTGCTTGTGTCAGCTTGGGGGTCGCCTCCAAGTATACCTTCACCTTAAAAAAATAGTTTCGTTTACATTATTTACTAACAAAGGCATTAATTTAAATCAAAGTATGAAAGATTCTTTTCCCCCTCCAACATAATTAAGTAGTACGTGGCAACTTGATACGCGCCATATAGGCCGTTGACTGCGATTTCAGCCTGCTTCTGTTTCTAGAATATCTCCCATAGCCTTTATCCAACCAAGAGAACCGACTACAAGGCAGCAGTTGCTTGATTTTGGAGTTGTCTCTACCTATCAAGCCTCATCTGCCCGGGGGTTCGAAAAGACCTACCATATATCTTTAAATATAAATAAGTTTTGTTATTTATATCAGGAAGCATATAAATTATGCATTCATGTTTTACTTTGATAAGAGATAGTATGGAGTATTGGTCTTGAATATTACCGCCTGAAATGTGAAATAATAGTTGTCGGATACTCTACTAGTATCAAATGTTTGAAAACACCACAACGTATATACATATATATATATATATATATATATATATATATATATATATATATATATATATATATATATATATATATAATATAATATATAAAGCTCAGTTCTGTATGTAAAAATGCATATGTTTGTCGTTGGTCTTGTATGGATTTAAGTGTTAGACAATTATCGTGCGCATTTGTCTAAATTTATGAGTTAAAAAATTACTATTGAAAGTGTTGGGAAATAATTTTCATTTTTCAAATTACAGTAAAAATTGTCGGTATGTTCATTAAACACAAGTTTTAAAAAAAATATCATCTTTTACAAAAATTCTAATTATCTCTTTATTTAGTCCAATAGCACCTACTTCCCTTTGATAAATTAGGAAAACACAATTACTTCCCTTTATAAAACATTGCATTAGTCGAAAATAATTTACTTTTTAATTACTTTGTTTTGGTGTTGGGAAAAAAAAATTACATAATTAGCGGGGATTGATCAAGTGCAAATGTTGTAGGTATTTTACGGATAAGCTTGGAGTATTAAAATTGTTCATTAAATTGAAACAGGCGCGTTCGTTTAAGTGAGTGCAAAAGACTATGAATAAGTTGGGGATAGTCGTTCATTAAGCTAAAACAGGTGATTCCGCACCGGGCGTTTATGTTCGCGTTAGTGTTTTCTTTGTGTTTAGGTGGGTTTGCGTTAATGGTTGCGTTTTGATTTGGTTCGTTTTTGTTCTTTCTTTTTTCGTTTTTGTTTGTGTTTTTTTGTTTGGGTTTGTATTTGTGTTTTTGGTTGGTTTTGAGTTTGGATTTGGTTTGTTTTCGTTTGCTTTTTCGTTGTTTTTTTGTGTGTTGGTATTGGTGTTTGTGGTTGGGTTTGTTGTTAGGTTTTTGTTTTCGTTTGCTTTTTTGTTTTTTTTTCTTTGTGTTTGTATTGGTGTTTGTGGTTGTGGTTGGGTTTGTTGTTAGGTTTTTGTTTTCGTTTGTATTTGTAATTGTGTTAGCGTTATGTTTGCGTTTTGTTGTTTTGGTTGGTTGTGGTTTGGGTGGGCAATGCCGGGTTTATGATGATTACTAAACACACAGGTAATGGTCTTTAACAGAAAGGTTTTTCACAGAAGCCAGAGCTGGGCCTGGCCGGGACGGCTAGTATATATATATTATACACATATACAGTAACTGCTTGTCATTTACTCACCTACAAATTTCGCCATATATGTCTCGAATGAACATACAGACGCCATCAAAAAGAAAGTGGATACATTGATAACAATCTGCTTCCTCTGACCGTATATTTTCATCAACAAACCAGACCTGATTTGAACTTTGTCCGATCCATCTTCTATACACACGCTTTTTCTGTAATCAGTTGAATATCTTTGCGTGGTCTTTTCAGTTAGTTAACAGATGTAGGCATATAATCTTCATAGTTTAAAGAAAATCAGAACAATGAATTTGGTTATACCGTCTAAAGATTTTATCAGTATATCAGTATTAAGTGGCCTAAGCCAGGGGTCGGCAACCTTTTGAAGCGGAAGAGCCAAAAGTTACAATTTTCTAAATTTTCCTGGTTTTAAAGAGCAACTAACATTTTTTTTATTTCAAATATTTTATTTTTTTATTAAGATTATTAGTATTTGTTCAAGGAGCTGGAGAGCCGCATCTTGATATCAAAAGAGCCGCATGCGGCTCGCGAGCCGCAGGTTGCCGACCCCTGGCCTAAGCGGTAGAGTGTTAGGAAGCGAACCGAAAGTCTCGAGTTCGAATCCGGATTAGAGTTAGAACGCCACTGATTCCACCTAGCTGTGATGGGCAACTTATTATTGCTAGGTAAAGTAAAAGTGGCTGCGCAAAATGCTGACCATACCCTCCCTTCATATTCTGAATTCTAGAAACATAGAACTTCACTTCATCTGCCCAAAAAATCGATAGTCTAAAGAGAATTCTTTACTTTTACTTTTCAATCCGGTGTTACAAAAAGTTTGAAACTTACTCAACGAATTCCTCATAAGCAAATCCCTTGTAGGGCGGGCTGGTGAATGAGGTGGTCAGCGAAACAGACAGACTGACAGCTAACAGCAGACAGCAGAAAGCCGAGAGGAAAGCACCATTGGCCGCGATGATGTCATGTGTTGTTCCCGCGGTCAAGGCCGATCCTAGACCAACTGACCCTAACACGGCCACCATACAGCCTCCTGGAACAGAAGTGTGGGGTAGTCTAGAGATGTGTGGGACAGTATAAGATGTGTGGGACAGTCTAGAGATGTGTGGGACAGTCTAAGATGTGTGGGACAGTTTACATAATGTATTGGGCAGTCTACCTATTTGTGGAACCATCTAGAGTAAATACCAATTGATATGATTTTAAAGTAAACCCCGCCGCTTGTCATACATACCTATTACTTTAAGATATGTTAGCCGGCGTGGCATTTCGTAAACAAACAAATTGAACAATTTAAAGTAAATAAAACAGAGTATTTAGCTTGATCAAGTTGTCTCAGTAGTGATAAAACTCTAGTGTTAAACTTACAGACACATTAAACAATATTGTATTAGTGCTCCTGACAGTGGCGTAGCCAGGAATTGGTCATGGGAGGGGTTCAAATATTTTTCCATATGTATAAATTATATATATATATATATATATATATATATATATATATATATATATATATATATATATATATATATATATATATATATATATATATACATATATATATATATATATATATATATATATATATATATATATATATATATATATATATATATATATATATATATATATATATATAGGGATGTAGTCCATTGGAGGGGTTATTATCCCTCCTTACCTACGCCATTGGCTCCTGAATTAAAGTGTGACTCACCCAAAGAAGCAGCGAAGCTTGACTTGACGAGAATGCCTGAGTGCTCCTCCGGACAAACACAAGCCAGACAAAATGTCTTGAAAAAACAAAAACTGATGGAATTTCCGAAATCGATTAAACCAAATCCCACCAACACCAGTAGCGTGTAGGAAACAAATCCTTCTGTTGATGTGTCATAATCCAATCTACCGTAAAAACTTACATTTCTCTGTTGAAAAGGATCGGGTACATCAGAAAATGGTGGTGTATACGATACAGCTAAGGTCCGTTCCCAAACGTGTGAAGTCGTATTTACATGTTGATCTATTGTAGACACGTTTCTCAACGCGCTGACATCGTACACAAAAAGTTTGAGACAATTCGCTATGAGAACTAAAAGCGAACCAGTCATCTGTAGAGAAATGGACACGACCAAAATCTTCGCCTTGGAGAGTTTCGACGTTGCCAGTTTGTCCGTCAGAATTCCTAGGACAGGGGTCAGCACCAAGCCGCATGAAGCTCCAACTGTGGCTGGCAGAGAGGAATAACTGACCGGAACTCCCAAAGTCTGGACATCGGCCATCATGAGGATCATTTCAAATGCCACACATCCTTCGATGCCCGACATGGCAGCCACCAGAAAGAACTCACGAATCATCAGAGGCAGATTCATGTTTAAACGATTCTTGTACAAACCTACTCTTAAAATACGCACCAAGAAGCTTCAGTTGTATAGAATTTTTTTTTAGATGTAGGCCAGAAAAATATTAAAACAAAATAATTTTAATTTGGTGAATGCGATTCGACACTACGGCTAAACCAACAAGTAAGTGCCTACTCAACGCTATAGGCTATAGTTCAGATGTGCCTAAAAATGTTAAATTTTGCCAAATTATTCATACATATGTCACAAAATTATTTCAAAACATGGGCCTTAAGTATTCGTATTGATAGTCAAGCACCCGTGAAGTTCATACAATCATGAATAATGGGTCAATTTGATCCTCTGTGTGCTGATGTTAATTATGTATGTACAGATGAGTCACTGAATTGACAAAATATAAGCCTAGGTATTGTAACATTTACCTCTACTGCTGTTGTATTGTTGTGTGTGTAAGTTTGAGGCCTAAAACAAGGCAGATTGTCCGGTTTTATTTTACATTTTATTTTTACGTGGACAAGTAAGAGCTTCACTATAGCAGTTACTGATGGGAAGGTTGACCATTTGATGCTCCCAAACCAACATCTGTTCACTCAATTACATAGTCCTTTTTTTGATTGTCTCAGACTAAACAAAATACATGCTTTTAAATGTACACACGCATGTTGAACGCCATGCGTTGTTAACCTTTTCATATAACAGATTCAAGAAGAATAAAACAAGCTGAACTTTCACTTGCATGTCGGCTGTAGTGATGAAAATCCAATAAAATATCCTCTAATGGTACAGAGTAAATGCTCTTTCTGTTGAATGTTCAAATTAAACGTTCAATTAAAATATAACAAATGTCTATAAAATATAACAAATGTCTATAAAATATAACACATTTCTATAAAATATAACAAATGTCTATAAAATATAACAAATGTCTATAAAATATAACAAATGTCATTAAATCAGTTTATACTGATCCAAAGCTGCTGCCAATAATCAGTCTCTTTTTCCCCGTGAGTGCTTATAAATATTATGTAGGTCTATGTTCGGAAAGGCATTTAGTTTACGAAATCCTCACCGACAAGGCTAGACTAGATAGAAACCATGTCTTCAGATGGTCATTTAGTTTACGAAATGTTCATCATTGTGGTTATGCTAGATAGAAACCCTGTCTTCAGATGGTCATTTAGTTTACGAAATGTTCATCATTGTGGTTATGCTAGATAGAAACCCTGTATTCAGATGGTCATTTAGTTTACCAAATGTTCACCGACAAGGCTAGACTAGACAGAAACCCTGTCTTCAGACGGCGATAGAAGATATACTAGGCAGTATGATGACCTAGTGATCGAGATATATTGTCTGTGTTTAATGTAATTAGTGTGGTGATATTTCTACAGCTTGCGTGCAGCCAAAAAAAGACTTGAATATTGGCATAATGAATTAGCTTAACGTACTTAAGAATCACAAATTGTCTACATTAAAAATATATTAAAGTAAACGTATAATTGAGCGCCAGTTTTCACGCCGTTCAACACGTTCAAGCCACATAGAGAGTTGAAAATCACAGGTGGATGTATTACATTTCAGGACAACAAATGATCAAATTCGCTGAATTCATAAAGCACCATAATTAAAGTAAATACGTATTTAATTATATCACATAACTGCCAATTCAAACCAAGAATATATATATATATATATATATATATATATATATATATATATATATATATATATATATATATATATATATATATATATATGACCAATAAATCTGCAATCGTTCCACATACACATAAATACACACGCAGACTAACACAACATCAGCACACAGACACACACACACACACATATATATATATATATATATATATATATATATATATATATATATATATATATATATATATATATATAGTTGACATTCTGATTAAAAACAAAAGCATTGTTTACTACGCGTCAAAAGAGAAGATATTTTAATTACAAAAAAAACAGACAAACAGTAGTGTAACTTAATACGCTTGTTTGGTCCGTCAGCTCATTATAAATTCTAGTATCTCCCTGCTAATTCCTTTTATTAATTTAACCCACTATATTTCTAATTAAAATGATTTTTCAGTATTTGTGATTAGTATCTTACCATCAATACCAGTGGTTCTCAACTTGGGGCCTGTATGTTTTATGAACCATGAAACTGTATGATGTCTGTATAGGCACAGATTTATATGAAAAATGGTTGTAAGTTCATCATTCATTAGATTTGAAGTTGGGTAATCTAGTTGGTGTATTATGCTAAAAGTAAGAGTTTCCCAGACATACTACAATGTATAGAACCATGAACCACAACAAAAGTGTATAATTTTAATGAGATTTAGAAGATTAGAAGTGAGATTAAGATATCATATTTAGAATATCCAGGGCCAGCAAATTATAAATAAGCTGTTGTTTACGTTAGTTGACGTATAAGTTGTAGTAGGGGAGATAACTGCAGTTCAAGTGTTGGATCTGATTGCGTGCAGTGAGTTATAGAACTTGATAACATATTTAGACTATATTTGAGTGAGTGAGTGAGTGAGTGAGTTATACAATTCTGCAAAATATTCGTACAAATGCTTTACGCATTATTTGGTTTAAACGTTTAAGTGAAATTCTCTTTGAAAATTCCGGCTCATATTCGGCTTTAAGGTGCATAGTTAAGATTAGAAAAGATTCTGCTTTGAATCCTCGGTTGTCACACAGTAACCAATCTTACTCTTCATTTACCATGCAACAAGATTGAGCTAGTCTTAAAGGAGGATATAAAGACTAAAACTGTATTATATTGACTATACAGATATTATATGTTTTCTAAGAATCATTTTAAACGAGTGTTCTTAAAATGAATAAGCAATTCTTGTTAAACTATACGGTTGACCTACCATTGCACTATTACAGTGTTTTTGCAGATAAAAATAGACACAATGTCAGAAGTCGGCACTGTCAACCAGCGCATCAGAAGTCTGGCAGAAGAAAATCCTCAGCAACAGTGCTACAAATTCATCAGCGTGAAGAACGAGATTCTATCGTTGTCACGGCAACAGTTGTTTGATCTGAGTCGTCGTTTTGCTAGTCGTCTGCAACGACACGATATCAAGGTAATGTTTTCAAATTACTTGTCACTATATTTTACATCGTGTCAAGGTATTGATTTAATATTACTTGAAACGATATTACTTTAACTTGATGTCAAGGTAATGTTGTTTAAATGATTTGAAACAATATTTTGCATCGTGTCAAGGTAACGTTTTCAAATGACTTGACACAGTATTTTACTTGATGTCAAAGTAATTTGTTTAAATTACTTGACAAAAATATTTAACACGATATCATGGTACTGATTTAATATTACTTGAAACGATATTAATTTTACTTGATGCTAAGGTAATGTTGTTTAAATGATTTGAAACAATATTTTGCATCGTGTCAAGGTAACGTTTTCAAATGACTTGACACAGTATTTTACTTGATGTCAAAGTAATTTGTTTAAATTACTTGACAAAAATATTTAACACGATATCATGGTACTGATTTAATATTACTTGAAACGATATTAATTTTACTTGATGCTAAGGTAATGTTTTAAAATTATTTGACATATTTAAAATATATATCTAACGTTACATTTCAATTTTTTGTTTTTAAGCGTATCGCAAAAAAGTGCGTTCTACTTTGTGAATGAATGTGATCGTGCTACAATATAGACCTACTCTCGCATTTATTTAACAGAAAGGAGATGTGATCTGTTCTGTACTCACCAACTCAAGGTCAAGGATAATAATGGACATGGGTATTTTGATGGCGGGCGGCGTCGTCCTAACTGGCCTGGTAAACAAGCAATAAAATCAGCTGTTACGGTATCTGTATAGGCAAACACCGACAATAACAATACAGTCTTAAACCGAAGGGACGGTAAAAAATTATTACTTCGCTAAAAAGAATTAATAAAATAAATCTCTTTGTTTTAAATTAAATAGTGTAAATGTTTAAATTAAACCACGAGTGAGGACGTTTAGAATCTCGTATAACACATGTAAAGGAAACACCAACACAATTCTTTGAGGTTGGGGTGACACAAGTCTCTTCTTGTCCTCCCCACTGTAACCTCCAACTACCATCCACATTCATCGCTACGCACCTTCTGTTTCTACCCACTCACAATACACCCAGTTCAATTGTTACCCTCAATCACTCCGTACACACACACATACACACACACGCACGCACGCACGCACATACACACACACGCACGCACGCACACACGCACGCACACACGCACACACACAACACACGCACACACACACACGCTCGCGCACACACACACCCACGCACGCAGTGTTTTGTTCCACATACACACCTTTCATACAGATCACATCACCACACCTCGTATGATAGAAATTTGACCAAATACCATTACCTCTGAAGCTTTCTCATCGTCGTTTGATTGTCACCAGTCTGTCATGGAGCCACAAAGAGTAACTGGTTTATGCGTTAAACTTTTAAAATATAGTAGCACGAGCCGGCCCGCGGCATAACATACGCCGCTATTTAGTTGTTTCTAATTTTCAATAATTCATAATTTGTGAATTCGACAGTACCAACGCTGACACTGAAAATATTTCTTTAAAACACTATAAGTAGCTCGTTAAGGACCATAACCCCCCCCCCCCTCCCCCCCCCTACGTTTAAAATCGTTGGCTCTGCTTGTAAACATTTAGAGTGAACACAGCTCACTAAAACCATGTAGGGGTGGGGAGGTAGGGAGAGCGTTTGCAGCTTGTTTTCTAACGGCTCGAAGAGGAGAATTATATATATAGATTGTGTCTAGCAAGACCATTAAGCCATGGATATAAGACTTTTAATGCTCTCGAATTTTATAATTATCTCCCATGTTAACGAGTATTAAAAAAAATCGTCTGTCGTTGATAACTCTTGTTGTATTGTGATATACAGGAGCAGTCAAAGCTAACAATACGAAAAAAACTTCGATATTAAAAGTTATAAAAATCAATTACATACACTACAGTAAATTGATATTATGGATTGTTTGAAACCACATTTGTCTTTCACACTATCACTGACCATCTCAGCCAGTTTTGTCTGACGGTCAAGATTTATTTGGAGCCCTGAGACATTCCAACTGTTCCATGGTCATCACGTCCAGCGCGAGCCCAACAGCCAAGATCTTTGAGAGATACGGCCTGTCTAGTAGTGTGGGGGAGAAAGGGAAGTAAGTCTGTAACATATTCTAGTGGATTCAGTAAGCTTATTGATAAAGGGAAGTAATTCTAATAAATTTTTGAAGGGCTTCACTAAAATTATTGATAAAGGGAAGCATGTCTACAGCACATTCTTATGGAGGGTTTAGTAAATTTTATGTGTAAAGGGAAGTATATTTATCATACGGATTAGTAGACTTATTCCATTAACGGTTTAATAGAAGAAAGTATGTCTATAACACATTATAAATTATGGATATTAAACGATCAGTTATATACGATCCATAATTTTAATTATTTATTCTTATTAATTAATAATTCAATCTATTAATTTTATGACTTTTATGAATGCACAAACTAGTTTTTACTTTATACAAAAATTTTGCATGTACATATACACAATAATCACAGTGCAACCTACACCAAAACAGTTATTTTTAGTGCTCTCTCTCTCTCTCTCTCTCTCTCTCTCTATATATATATATATATATATATATATATATATATATATATATATATATATATATATATATATATATACATATATATGTAACGAGACTATTTGCCTGTAGTGCCAAATGTTAACGAGTTCTGCTCGACAACGCCAAATGTTACCGAGTCTAACCACTCATTCTACACAACATCGACCACAGTATAGATACTCGAAGATGCAGGTTCGCTATTGATCCTTTTATTACATGAATCAAAGAAATGCTTCACAATAATATACGGAATCAAAAGGAATGCTTCACAATAATAGTTTGAATCAACTGACTCCCAACAGTCCTCACTAGTCTTCATATAACTGAATACACATGTCTATCGTCCTTCTTAACACAATATAACCAACTTGATACTGCCACACAGACTGACTGATCGAGAGAGCCAGACTGAGGCACTTCCTAAATGTCCATCGCACCATCGTAAAAAAAAATTATTGTTCCATTCACTGTCAATGTCGTCCCATTCGTAAAAGATTGACAGTTATCCCTATTTCACATATCAAATGTGTCTACATCATATTCCTCAGACACAAAACAGTTCTAGAATTCACATCCACCTTTTTTCGTTTGGTGCCTTCACCAGTTCACTTTTATGACTTTTTGAACAGTCTGTTCTCATACCAGCGCGACCATGAAAGAATTGATGGTTGCTGACAAAAAATTTCGTATTCTTTCTGTTTCTCAAACTTCTCCGCGGACCACTTATCTGATGGTCTACTGTCTCTCTGCTTCTGGGAGGAACGGGATCCTCTTCGTTGCCGTTATCCTCCACTTGTGTCTCGCTGTTGTTCTGTTGATGGTGACATGGTTCCGGGATGGGTATGTGAATTTCCGTTATAGTTTCCGGTTCCCTAATTGTCTTGGGTTTCCTTGTGTGTAACTGCTCTTCTTGACTATGACAATATTTCTTTAATTGAGCAATATTCGCCCACCGATCCGGTTTGGCGTGATCGATGGGTCTTATCTTAAAGGGGCCACCTGCTACTTTAGGCATCTCCACGACTTGCCATATCTCCTGTCCCCAGAGATCGTGGATTTTGTTTCTGCCTAACGGGTGGCTACGCAGTAATACCCTGTCGTTCAGTTTGAGTGGCGGGTCCTTTGTCTGTACCGGCGGTTCCCTTCGCCGTGCTTCATGTTCTAGTCTTTCCTGTACTACCCTGTACATTTCTCTAATTCGTCTCATATGTTCATTCACATATTCCAGTGCAGTGTATGAGCCAGTCATACTCTCCTTTTTTCCTAGGAACAAGTCAAGAGGGAGTCGAGCCTCCCGTCCGAACAGCAACATGTGTGGCGAAAAGCCGGTTGTGGCATGGGGGGTGCAGTTGTATAGATATACCAACTCTGGGAGAAAATCAGGCCAACGTTTTTTCTGTTCAGGTTCTAGCGTACACAGCAAATCATGCATGCTGCGGTTGAACCGCTCGCACTGTCCGTTTCCTTTCGGATTAAATGTGGTTGTTCTAGATTTGTTGATCCCGTAGTGGCTGCACAGTTGGTTAATTACTTCTGACTCGAAGGCCCTTCCTTGGTCAGAGTGTAATTGTCTTGGTATGCCATATTTGATGAACCAATGTTCTATTAAGACCTTTGCCACTGTTTTGGCAGTCTGATCTCGTGTGGGCACCGCAACAGTCCATTTGGTGAATACATCAGTCATTACCAACACATGTTCCGTCCCATCCGATGATTGCTCCAACGACGTAAAGTCCATAGCCACAATCTCTAGTGGTTTTGTCGCTAGTAGGTGTCCTGATGGCTGTCTCATTTTGACAACTGGCATTTTCGCATGCTGACACCTAACACAAGCCTCACAATGGCGTTTGACCTCCATCTCCATATTGGGCCAGTAACACCGCCGTCGTAATATTTTGTGCGTCCTGTCCTGACCCTGGTGTCCTGCCCTGTCATGTGCCAACCTTAGCACTTCTTCTCGTAACTGTCCAGGCACCACCACCTGGTGTATTGTCCCATCAATTTGGTCATGAATTCTCCGCATGAGAACACCATCCTTTATACTGAGACGGTCCCACTGACTCAGTATTTTCTTTGTTTCTCGACCAAATTGTTCTCTTTCCCTTCTTCCTGGGAATTTTTGTTCCTGGACGTGTTTCAACAGCGGCTGTAAACCACTATCCGTTCTCTGGGCATCTCTTATCTCTTTGTGATTAAGACAATTAAAATCACTAATGTCCATATGTCCGGGCTCTGTGGAAATGTGCTCCACCCCGGTCTGTCCGTTTTGCATCACTAGCCTTTCTTTGTCTATCATTTCTTCTAGTTTGCCAACACTGTTCTGTTGTCTAATATTTTTATTTACTTCTTCCGATAACAGACACTTTAAAGATGAACATTTCTCCTGTGCTTTTAATTTGCATGAACTTTTCCTATCCAGTTTCCTGGTTAGACTTTGAATTCCTTTATTAAGTCTACCAATTTTCTTCTTATCATCATTTTTCTCTACCAACAAATTGTTCACTTGAAACTTTTCAACATCCAAGTTCATTTCACAGTTCATTTTTTCTATTAGTTGTGTTTTACCTTTCTTTTCCTCCTTACTGTGTTTCTGTGTCATTTTGTTTACTAAGTCATAACCTCGCCACTCTGTAGCCTTGTCTTGCCTTACAGAGGGCGATCGTTTCACCGGACAGTACCGTGCCACATGTCCGGGTTGAGAGCAGGACAGGCCGATTGGTCGACCGTCGGCCGTCCACCGGAGCGATGGACCGGCGGGTCGCGGCCGTCCAACCTGTCTCTGTTTTGGCCCGTTCTTTTCCTGATTCTCAGCTGTTGACCTACTCTCTAACCTCTCCAATCGTTGGTCAACCTTATCCAGGTGAGCCAACAGCTGAGCCATCATGGTTTCCACCGTGCCGGTCCCTGTGGGTGGGGATTGTTTCTGTTCCGGCACAGAGACTTTGTCCACCGAACAGTTCGATTGGTCCTCATCCTCGGACCTGCGGATCGCTGAGTTCCTGACCTGAAGGAAGGTCAACTGCGGGTCTTTGTGGACCTCCTCTTTCAACTCTCTCCTTAAGATCGGGGTTGCTAGCCCCTCGATGAAATGGTCCCTCAGTAGGCGTACATCAATGTCAGGTGTTTTGCCCTTTACCGAATCAAAGGCCCTGTTCATTCGGTGTGAATACTCCATCACACTCTCCGCCATTCTCTGCTTCAAGCCTACTAACACCGCTAGCAGTTGCGATCCCGACCGTCTCTCCCCAAAGGTCTCCATAATTAGATCCAGCACCTTATCTGGATCTGATTGGATGGTTTTATCGTGGCATTTGACCTCTGCCCTAACCGTCTCTCCTATACTGCCCATCAGCAGTCTTAATCTTTCCTCTGGTGACATGTGTCTCGAGGCCCAGGCCGCTTTGACCTCCTCACTGAACCTGTTGGTTAAAGCTGGATCACCGTCCCCGTAAAATTTGTTAATGTGGGACTCTCTGGGCAGGACCACAATATGGGTCTGCTTCTCGTCCAGAGTAGACATTTTATTCCTTGAGTAAAAAAAAAAGAGTTCTTTCTTACCGTGTGTGTATGAAAAATTTTCCTCGTTCCTCAATTTTCACTGTTCCTGAATGTCCGAATTCACACACACACGAAACACAGTTATGAACAAGGTTGACTATGGGTGCCTCAAGCGGCAAGTCTAGCTGGATTCATCCTGTCCGCAGCGCCAAATGTAACGAGACTATTTGCCTGTAGTGCCAAATGTTAACGAGTTCTGCTCGACAACGCCAAATGTTACCGAGTCTAACCACTCATTCTACACAACATCGACCACAGTATAGATACTCGAAGATGCAGGTTCGCTATTGATCCTTTTATTACATGAATCAAAGAAATGCTTCACAATAATATACGGAATCAAAAGGAATGCTTCACAATAATAGTTTGAATCAACTGACTCCCAACAGTCCTCACTAGTCTTCATATAACTGAATACACATGTCTATCGTCCTTCTTAACACAATATAACCAACTTGATACTGCCACACAGACTGACTGATCGAGAGAGCCAGACTGAGGCGTCGCCTTCCTTATATCCCCCTCGTATCCGTAGTCGTATTCGGTTCTATCATAATCGTAATCGTACTCGATTCTAATCGTTGCATCAGAATGTTAATTGCGCCGCTTCTGTCGTACAGTCCGATTTAATATAACATCTGCACTGTTTCGTCAGCCAAGTCGTGTCAAAGTTGACAGCGCTTGTCGTATCCTTCCAAACTACGCCGTGGCTTTATGATCGTTATCAGTTGGCTTATCAGTCCAACACCTGCACTATCGCGTTCTCAACAATAGTGACTAGTAACTAGGCCCACCCTAGTTACATATATATATATATATATATATATATATATATATATATATATATATATATATATATATATATATATATATATACTTATATGTGTATGTATGTATAAAATAGCAACTGCTGCTGTCTATCTGATTCTACTAAATAAATCTAAGAACACACGGCATATGTTACAGTCTAGAGACCATCATCCCAGTACAGTGTGACCAAGCCCCGTGTCTAAAACAACTGATCGTGTACAGGTTAAACAGCCACCAAGACCACACAGCTTTCATCTCTTCTCTCGCTGATGAACACTTCTACGAGGCAGACGTCAATGCTGATGACGAGGCTTACATTTTCATGACTTCCGGCAGCACCGGATTTTCTAAGATGGTTCCCAGAACCCACAGGTGAGAAATTGTATCATTGAGTGACGTTTGGGGGTGCTAAAACTGACAGGTGGGACATTTTGTCCACACTTGTCGTACGATCTACGGCCGAGATCTGAACTCCAGGGTTCGCCAGCACTAGACCACACCGCCTCCTAGGATGTGATACATTTTTATACAACTCAAATATAGAATCAACGAAAGAAATATTGAATCAATAAAAAAAAAACATGTAAAAACATTGTCATGAAAAGCATTTTTATTCAGCATTATTATAAATATAAATAGTCTTGACATTTGCTTGCTTCAAAAACATCCACAACTGATGCAAACCCTCCACTGTCCCCCACCCCTACCCCCAGCTCTAAAGTAGAAACGACAAAATATAATACTGCTTTATATTGGACACAAAATTTAAGTATTAATTAGTAATAGCAGGGAAAAACATTGATGACAGAATTGACATCTATCTCGATTAAACCTCCAAATTGTATCGCTTTAAAAACTCACATACGTTTTTAAAAATAAATATTTTGATAGAGGTAGAAAACAAACTTTAAATGTTTCAACTTCCATAGGGAATGTCTTGATCTGGCTGACAACCACTGCCGTATTTTCACCCAAGATGACGTCTTGTACAGTGATCGCCCCTTTGGTTGGCTGGGTGGGTTCCCCCATTTTTATCTGACCCAAGGGATCCCGACCCTGGTTCAAGAAGTGTTCAATGGGGTCACGGTAAGGGACGTGTCTGATATCTGGGGCATTGTGCTCAACCTGGGAGCGACATTTACATTCATGCCTGTACCTGACGTCATGCTGCTCAGACAGGTAGTGTTGTTAAGTGTCGACACAAGTGCTATAAATAGATAATATGCAGACATTAATTGGTTATTTTAATTACACACCTATTAAACATTGCATATATATGTGTTGTGTAAAAACACATTAAATAAGCATTCAACTTCTAAGTTTTTGTTTTTTCTAATTTTTTGTTTGTTTTTTATATAATAATATATTTTTTATATTTATTGTAAAATTAGCATTATGCAGATCACATTTTTAAGAAGTCAATCAAGGTCATCTTGACTGGAGGTCAGCCAATCAAAAAGGTTTGATACTTTTTAAAATTGTTTTTTCTGTTCTAAGAGCAACCATTCTAACAGCCCATCCTAAAAGTACGTTAAAATTATCTTACTCGGAAATAGTGTAGTAGAACTAGTTTTATCCAAATTACAATGAAATTTTATACAAAGGGGTTTGCCATTCACAGAACGTTGTTGCTGTAGTGGGTCAGGTATGTGATGTGATGATGACTGTCTATGGCTCAACTGATGCAGGCTTGATAACATATGGGCTCATTTCTATACACAACAAGGTATTCTTATCTTTTTAACATACATGTGAATTACTGTACACAACAATGTATTCTTATCATTACACTTAGAGGCTCATTACTGTACTTGTATAACAATCTTTTGATAGCACTAAAATTCTAAAATAAACATTGCATTATAAATTAATCTTTTGTCGTTAAAGTGTAATTATATAATTTCGTAATACAAATAGGGTTAAAAAGATATAGTGCCTACATAGCAATTAAAAACACTCGTTTTGAACTGATAGCTTATAATTAGTACGTATTGTGGCAAATCAATATAGCATTTTCATAATACTCTATTTTATTCGGATTTGACCATGCATACATTTCAAATTGACTTAAAATATGTTTAACTCGAGATAAGCTTTATTGAACTATAAGCAACTTTTTACAAACAAAAATTCCAGCTTTTAGCTAGCAGGGTAAGTCTTCTGATTCTAATACTGACAAAGGTGTTCATAAGTCTTTGCATCACAGGAAAGGTTTAAAGACTGCAGAGCTGGGAACATTCTATGTCCAGGCCTCCAGCTAAGATTAGTGGATGAAAACACCAAACAGGTCTTCACAGAACCGAACCGTGTTGGAATTATACACCTCAAAGGTTTGTAGTTATTCTTCCCTAACACAAAAATATTAACGACTTCGTGAAGAATATGTTCGCTTAAAATGATATTCTTTGTTCGAGGAAATCATCTTCGATCTTACAAATAATCAAGTCGGCGTGGTCGAGTCGGTTAAGCTCATGGATGCCAAACCGATCAATCCCGAGTTCGAACCCCCGGACAGAGGAGTCTCGTCAGCTAGGGACAGCCACTCTTCTAGGAGAGACAACTCCAAAATCAAACAACTGCTACCTTGTAATTTGTTATTGGCCGGACAAAGGCTATGAGAACAAATAAAAAAAGAAAATCAGGCTGAATTAGGAGACAAACACCACACATAACACGTTGACAAATAATACTTAACTGTGTGTCCTCTTCGCTATTACAATGTATTAGAAAGAAGAACTACTAAGTAGGCATTACTTAAATGTTTAACTTTTTACGGTGAAAATGCAGCATTCTTCTCGATCTTATACTAGTAAAAACTTACTCTTAGCTGATCTCTTTCTTAGAAATATAAAATACAATTTTTGCCGTATGAAACAACAATCACAACTTAACATTTCCTCACTTCGATTGTAGTGTATGTAAAATAAATTATGCCACTATTATGTCACCCACAGGTAGGACTGTACTGAGGCGATATCTGAACGTGGAGACTACAACATCTGACATGTTCACCAAAGATGGCTGGCTAGACACTAACGATGCCGGCTACATTGAGTACGTTTATTTTTTTCAGTGGTGGACTGTAGCCTATGAAATAAATAAAAGCTCCTTCGCGTCTTAAATTTTCATAGTGCATTATTGTCATACAAGCATGAAGCCCGACTCCACAAAGTTACGGGTCACTTTAAAATTACAATATACAACGGACTGAAAAAAAGAAACCTTGATAGACCTATAACAGCAGTTATCCCGACGGTCCACCGGGATTTTTTTCCCTTGGGAGTACAACAGGATTTCCCCAGTCCACCTCTTTATTTTTTACAAGGTTTTTTTTGCCTATGCTATCTATATCTATGGTCTGCCCGATTTTATGATCTATTTGTACTTACTTCTAATTGTTAGATTTCTTTACCACTTTGTACTTCGGAGACTATTTACTGCTAATGAATATTTAAAAAAAAATATATGATTTTATTTTCATGAACGTTCGAAAAAATAACTGTATGAATTAAAACGATGAGATAATATATATATATTCCAGTTTCGAAAGATATTTTTATATTTTATTCAAACAACTTTTAATTTGTTTGTTAAACAACAAGCGAGCTATCGCTATTTTTAAAATTTGTTTTTCGTGTGTTGTCATTTAGTGATAAAGGTGGATTGTACGTCATTGGACGTCAATCTGACGTCATTGTGGTAGGTCCTTACAACATGTACCCTCAGTGGATGGAGGAGAGGATTCAGAAATGTCCAGGTGTTCAGTCTGTTATGATCGTAGGTAAGTAGGTCAGTCAGTGATGATCGTAGGTAAGTAGGTCAGTTAGCCATGATCGTAGGTAAGTAGGTCAGTTAGTGATGATCGTAGGTAAGTAGGTCAGTCAGTGATGATCTTAGGTAAGTAGGTCAGTTAGTCATGATCGTATGTAAGTAGGTCAGTCAGAGATGATCGTAGGTAAGTAGGTCAGTTAGTGATGACCGTAGATTGGTAATTCAGGTAGTGATGATCGTAGGTAAGCAGGTCAGGTAGTTGGTATTACTGATCCTATGTAGATATGTTAGATAGTTAATTTGGTAACTGTAGGCAAATACATATTATAACAGCTACAATTATAGACCTTTACAGTACAGACTAAATCCAGAAGTATGTATACAGGTAGATATAAAGTTATATAGCACAACGGTATTAGATAAACACGTTTCCTTCGTTATAGTGATACACATTATATACGAATAGGCCTGTATGTTATACTTATATAAGTTATACTGATACACATTATATACCCATATGCGTTATTCTTACACAAGTTATACTAAAGCAGCGAATCCCTTACAGGACTGCCCCACCCAGTGACCAGCCAGGAGCTGTGTGTTTGTGTCATCAAGGAGAAGGACGCGATCTTGACCCTGGCCGAGCTGGAGACCTTCTGTCGGGGCATGTTCTTGCCGGGGGCCACCAAGTTTGACGGGGTGCCGGAGAAGTTTGTCTTCATGGACAGTTTCCCGGTACTGGCTAGCGGGAAAGTTTCCAGAAATGGCGTCGCGAAAATGGCCGCCCAATATTTTAAAACAAATTCCTATTTAGACGTTAATGATATGTAAAGTTTATGTTGAATTAGCTGTTTCATTGTAAGACCGAACCAAAAAGAATCTTTACCAAACTTGCTGTTTCATCATTTATACACGAACCTCTTTATGTTATTAAATGTTATCTATACAGAAAAAATAATTACTTAGGATAATCCTCATCCCAAGAAATAATATACATTGGTTTAAATTATACTACTGTAATTAACCTTACTGTGGGGTATTTGATAATCTTTTGCAAAAAACTGTAGTGGTAGGTCACTTTTTATATAGGTATCATCAGATGGTTCTACTACTTCTTCGTTATTAATTGTAATGTTAGACATGAGATAGTCCAACAAAAGCATTACGCGTCAACTTGTTATGCGCCATATAGGCCGATGCTTATATGTTTATGATGTGTTTATAGCATGATTTATTGGCATTAGTATAATTATTGAACTAAACATCTTTTCAAAAATAAATTATTGTGGTTTCTCTTTGGTTTACTTATAGCCAATAAATATTTTAAAGAAAGTATTCTCTTTATTCACTATTGCTCTACTTGTGAACCTATAATTTAGGATATATGGTCGAGAATGTCATAGATCAATTTCCGTGTAAATAAGTTTCAATTTGTTTGCAAATTTACTGCGGTTCAAATTTTTTTGTAAGTGTTCTACACATTGTCAGCCTAGCTGATGCCGAGCTGGTTGTATAAAATTTTCAAGCTTGCTGTCAATTTTCTCGGTGCTCATTTCGGAGTAGGATAATTAAGTTTGGCGCAATCCTTTTGAAAAATATGTTACGTATGTCTTGTAGATTGTACACTAAAATACTAAATATATAATTGACAAAAAGTTATACAATTCAAAAATATTTTGATTAAGAAATTAAAATTAATTATTTTAAAACTTACTAGTTTTCGCTTTTCCTAATTTTTTTAAAGGAAGGTAACTGAACAATAACGGTACACTACTTAAATCTTACTTACTATGTCCCTTAAACAAAGGGTAATAATCACATTCAATGTATTCAAGAAGTTTCTAAACATTTTAGTATAATCCTTATTCGTTTTAATTGACACTATTAATCAGCAGAATTCGAAAATTAAATAATCTGCAATAAGTACTGTCGCATTTAAAAAATAAACAATAAATGCGATTGGTTGGCAGCAGTGTAGTAGACAGGGGTCGCAGGGTTCCCTGTGACGTCAATCAGGGGTCCCATCAGCGCCGAGCAGAGGATGAACCCACAGGGTAACATGGAGGCGACGACGGCAATCACAACACCAGAGTTCTTGTCGCCGTTCTGGAGCATTCGATAGAACAAAAGCAGGTCAATAAGATACATTTTACAGGGTAACATGGAGGTGAATTGCTATCACAGCACCAGAGTTCTTGTCGTCGTAGCTGATCGAATCAACTAGATCAAGCAGGAACTTTTATGCCCTGCCATTTAATTTAGCATTGCGGATGGAATCAAAAGTTTCTTTACGATGCCTTAATGTTACAAACAGATCTCAATAAACTGTATGAAAATGTAGTTGAAAAATATTGAGATACTATTAAAAATATAACATTTGTAGACACTGATCATTATAAAACTTACATTGCATACTATTGTAGAATTTTGTTTTTTTAATGATTTGTTAAAAACCCTTGAATATGTCACACCTTGATCTCACTGTTATTGGCCTACCAGCGTATTGATTAGCTAAGATATAAGGCACAGTCAACGAAATGGCATTGAAAAAACCAGTCCACACAGTTGTAATATAGAAGGCCCATAACTCTGCCCTTACCGCGCACACTAGGTTTACTGCGACATACAGATGATGATCATATCACTTCTGTATCCCTAGAGCAGTTTAGACAGTCAATGAATTTTTGTTCATGAATCTCAGGATATAATTAATAAAAAGAATACATTTAATAAACATTTATAAATACAAATATATGTCTCAATTATTCCAACACGTGTTTTCATACAAATGCTTAATGATACTCAAGTACTCACAAATACCTTTTATAATCATGCATAAAAGGTAATTTCCATCCTGTCTGTGTTTAGGTAACTTAGGTCTACATAGATGAGCCCCTTTATCTTTTTACTGACATCTCCGGCTCAGGAGGTGTCTCCCATTATCCAGGCATGCTCAACACGGCTAACTACGACTAACTGTTGAGTCACTAAGTTGACAAAATTTATTTGTACTGTTTTTGTTAGTGTGGTGTAAAACAACGCTGTTTGCCAGATTTTTAAAACATTTTTCTTACCTGGCCAAGCTACAGTCCCGCCACAACAATAACAGGCTGAAGGTCCCCAAACCAAAATGCTGTCTATTAAAATTAAATTAGTGAGTCCGCTTGCGATACGGCTTCTTAGTCTCAGTCTCTCTCGACGGTTACGATGTAGAAATAAAAAGTTCTACCCTACATGACCTTGAACTAGAAGAAATGCTGAATCAGGTTAATTAGATAAAACAATAAACCTGTGTAACTTAATATGCTTGTTCGGTCGGTCAACGCAACAATATGCAATTCTCTACTATTACTTGTATAATTAAACAATTTTCTAATACAAAGTTAAATATGCTAGTATCTCCCTACTACTTACTCGTTTTAAATAAACCATTTTCTAATACGAATTATAATAATGCAAGTATGTCCCTACTAATTCCTCCTGTTAATTAATCCTACTACATTTCTAATAGTTTTTAGAAGCTCCCCATCATTAGCATATTCTGCGCATTGATATCAGTGGTTCTCAACTTGGGGCAAGTAGCTGCTGTGATCCACGTTACAGTGAGATCTCTGGGGCACTTTGAGATGGGATTGGTTATAAGTTTATAGATCATCAGTTCCACAGTCGAACATAGTAAATGTTGTATTCAGCTGTTTTTAAGAAGTGGCTCGAAAGCCAACAATATATAAAACTTTACACCATGACTAAAGTGCATAATTATAAGGAGATATTGAAGATTAGAAGCGAGATTAACAAATATTATTTCATATTCCCATGACAGATAATTATTTAAAAAAAAATGTTGTGTAATGTTACCTTTCGTACCAGTTGCTGCAAGGAGATAAGTCATTACATCAGACAACCGTTGATTATTATCTTTTCACTTCACAAAATTGTGTGCGGTAAGTGTATGTGATATAATAGAAATAGCCGACTATAACATAGTGATGCTTAACATTTAAAAAAATAATATTTTATATTTTTAGTGACATTTTTAAAAAAGAAATCCAGCTTATATTCCTCAATAAATTTTATGGTTGAAACTAGGAAAGACGAAGCTTTCAACTCTATTCTGAAATTCAGAAGTTATGGTTTATTAAACTAATGTATCAAAATGAAACTAATCTTATTGCATAATACAAGTTACATTACCCACTATCTATGATTACTGTATAGACTTCTGCAGGTTTTACTTCTTCGTGGAGTGTAATATTGATGAAATATCAATTATTTTTTTTATTCTACGAATGGCCTAAAATTGATTACTTAATTAAAGTGTTCTTGCAGATATAAAAAGACACAATGTCAGAAGTCGGAACTGTCAACCAGCGCATCAGAAGTCTGGCAGAAGAAAATCCTCAGCAACAGTGCTACAAATTCATCAGCGTGAAGAACGAGATTCTACCGTTGTCACGGCAACAGCTGTTTGATCTGAGTCGTCGTTTTGCTAGTCGTCTTAAACGACTTGGTGTCAAGGTAATGTGTAAAAAGCAGCTTCACCGATCATATATATATATATATATATATATATATATATATATATATATATATATATATATATATATATATATATATATATAATATATACCTAAATTTCAGCTCGAATGTAAAACACTGTTTATATATGTGGATATGTATGATACTGTGAGAAAAATAGACCAATGTATGTTCATGTGTTTATTGAACAGAAAGGAGATGTGATCTGTTCCGTCCTCATCAACTCAAGGTCAAGGATACTAACTGACATGGGCATTTTGATGGCTGGCGGTGTTGTTCAAACTGGATTGGTAAACTAGCATTAAAAAGTTGAAATTGTTTGTCTATAATAAGAGAACTGACCCCTCCGTTTAGAAAAAAAAGTAATTTAAATTAAAAAAAAAAACAATAGAAAGGTGACAAATAGTTTAAAATACATCTAAGCTTCACCAACTTCTTCTCTTTGCACTAGTCTTTAATAAAGTAAGTTCTTGATTTTGCGTAATGTTATTTTTATTTTACATTAAATAAATTGCTTTATGTCTGATAAGATTGTTTAGGTATGGTTCAGCCAGGCAGATATTTAATGTACTCCTTTATTCATATCTCACTTGTTTACAACTATTAAAAAATTAAATGACCTTTGACTGTTGTTAGAAATAATTGTATTATGAGTTTTATAAGAGCCTGAGCGAGCAATAAGAAAACACATTTTCATCATTGAATATTGTGTAATATATACCACACACTAAATTGATATATCACTATCGTTAAAATATGTATTTGTCTATCACACAATCACTGACCATCTCAGCCAGTTTTGTCTGACGGTCAAGATTTATTTGGAGCCCTGAGACATTCCAACTGTTCCATGGTCATCACGTCCAGCGCGAGCCCAACAGCCAATATCTTTGAGAGATACGGTCTGTCTAGTAGTGTGGGGGAGAAAGGGAAGTAAGTCTTTTACATATTTGTGGAGGGCTTATGTAAGCTTAACGATAAGGGGAAGTAAGTCTAACACTTATTGTATCTTCAAGTATTTGGATTTTTAAGTAATATTTACTTTCGATCTGATATTCTCCCTACCTATCAAACTACCTACTTGCCTTCCTGCCTTCCTTCCTGCTTGCCCTCTCACCTACCTACCGATCTATTTACTTGCCTACCTAACTATCTACCTACCTCCTGTCTGCCAGCCTCAATGTCTGCCCACCTGCCTACTTACTTTCTCTCTCTCTCTCTCTCTCTCTTTCTCTCTTTCTCTCTTTATATGTTTATATATATATATATATATATATATATATATATATATATATATATATATATATACATACATGATGTGCTTGTGTGTGTATATATAAACAATTACAACAGTATGCAACAAGAATCAAAGTCTTTCACCCTATAAAACAACAGCTGTATAAAGTTAAAAAAAATTCTGTATGTCTGTATGTTACAGTGTAGAGACCATCATCCCAGTACAGTGTGACCAAGCCCCGTGTCTGAAACAGCTGATCGTGTACACGTTAAACAGCCACGAAGACCACACAGCTTTCATCTCTTCTCTCGCTGATGAAGACTTTTACGAGGCAGACGTCAATGCTGATGACGAGGCTTACATTTTCATGACTTCCGGCAGCACCGGATTTTCTAAGATGATACCAAGAACTCACAGGTAAGACATTTCTATCATTGAGCGATGGATGGGGTGTTGCATTTTGTCCTTGATAAAAGGCTGGGGGTGACTAAAACCCACGAGGAAGGAGTGTTTATAAGTTTCAAGGGTAAAAACGTAATAGGAAATACCAAAAACTTACAGATTGGAAATTTTATCTCTGAGCAGAGAGGGGGTGCTAAGAACTCACAGGCATGGTTTCTTTAAGACATTTTTCTCCGTGCATACGGGGACCTCAAATTCCTGGTGAGGGGGGGGGGGCGCATTTAAAATTTCCGGTTTGGGGCAGAATATGGTTTCATTATTTATTTCCTCTATTTCATCTGGAGGTAGAATTTCAGTAGTCTTGCTCGAGTGAGGGATGGGGGGCAGAGGCGTAGCGACTCTTCCCGGCCCCCCAACGACGCGCTTTTAATTTGCCCCCCCCCCGCACAAACTTTCAATTTGACGCCCCCCCCCCCGGACAGTATTCAATTAGACGCCCTATTCAAATATTTTTATATAATGCAAAACTGCAGCTAAAGCGAGCTATTTTTTCCAACCGATTTAGGCGCCCCCTAGGGTCGGCGCCAGGGGAAATATGTGCCCCCCGCTTCCCCCCTCGCTACTCCTCTGGGGGTGAAAGAGGGTGGTTAATGCCCCGGAGTAGCTTACATGTGTGGCATTTAGCATTCAAAGGTGGGGTATTGAGCACTTACACGGCGGCTAATTTGTCGTAGACAGAAGAATGGCATTCAAAAGGCCGAAAAGACAAAAGGCCGACGTTTACTACTTCCACAGAGAATGTCTTGATCTGGCTGACAACCACTGCCGTATCTTCACCAAAGATGACGTCTTGTACAGTGATCGCCGTTTCGGCTGGCTTGTTGGGTTCCCCCATTTTTACCTGACCCACGGGATCCCGACCCTACTCCAGGAAGTGTTTGATGGGGTCACCATGAGGACGGTGGCTGAGATCTGGGGCATTGTGCTCAACCTGGGAGCTACATTTTCATTCTTGCCAGTACCTGACGTCTTAATGCTGAAACAGGTAGTGTTCTTTTAATTATATAAATAATTAGTTAATTACAGTGTAATTGCAGTGTAAAGATAACATGTAGGCAGGTATTTTGTTATCTTGTTACATAAACATGTACACAATACACACACACACACGCACACACACCCACCCACCCACTCCCACACCCACCCACCCACCCACCCACCAACCCCCCCACCCCCCCACCCACCTCTCCCCCCACACCCACACCCACACACACATATATATATATATATATATATATATATATATATATATATATATATATATATATATATATATATATATATATATATATATATATATATACATATATATATATATATATATATATATATATATATATATATATATATATATATAGTTTTAACAATCGTTTCTTATTTAACAATTTTATTTTTAGCATTACGGCGATAACGTTTTACAGAAGTCAATCAAGGTCATCATGACTGCGGGTCAACCAATCAAAAAGGTCTGATGGTACTAAGTTACTCCCAGCTGTAGAACATACTGTTACAGTACACATTGAACTATCCATTCTCATACGCGCTGTTTACCTATCACAGAATGTTGTTGCTGTAGTGGGTCAGGTATGTGATGTGATGATGACTGCCTATGGCTCGACTGATACAGGAGTAGTAACATATGGGCTCATTACTGTACACAACAAGGTATTCTTGTCATTAAACTTATGGACTTTTTACTCTAAGCTATACGTTATTCTTTGTTATTAAACATGCGGGCTTATTTATTACCTCACACAAGTTATACAAACTAATTGCCTGCATATTTAGTTATAAAATAAAAAGCACTAGTCTTTAAAATATTATAGGCTACTTGGTATACAAAGCTGTTGTAAACTCTGGTTTTGTATGGATTTCTAAAAATTCGCACTTATTGTGGCAAAACTTATTAAACTTGTTCATACTTCTAAAACTGCTCGGCTTTGACCATCATTACGGTTTTAAGTTAAAGTTTTATTATGGTACTCGAGATAAAGTCAATCACAATATGAGCCTTGTTTTACTAATACATATCACATAATTTAACTATCGGGATTAATCATTTGGACCTTACACCAACTCGTGTAGCTCAAGGTATCCAGTTCGGATCTCATTTCGAACTTATGATTGTGGAACGTCCTTGAGTCCCCCCCCCCCCCCCAGCTCTGATGGGTACCTGATTTTTTTTAGGGAAAAGCAAAGTCGGCCTGGCATCGTGCTTACCACACCATTCCTTCAAATGTCGAGGTAAAAAAACATATGAACTCGATTTCATCTGCCCAATTAATCGCTAGGTCTAAATAAGAATGTTAATTTATTTTGCACGTGTATTAATAAAAGTCTTTGCAACACAGGAGACGTTTAAAGACTGCAGAGCTGGAAACATTCTATGTCCGGGCCTCCAGCTAAGATTAGTGGATGAAAACACAAAACAGATCTTCACTGAACCGAATCGTGTAGGAATTATACAAGTTAAAGGTTTGGAGTCAAATCTTTAATTCGGATCATTCATTATCTTTGTCGGAAAAAATGTTCTTTGAAAAAAGTTTTTTTTTTTAAAGTCACAAGACGGCGAAGGAGGGCGGGAGAGCATGTGGTCAGCAACTTCTTAAGTTCTGAGTTCGGATTGAGGGGCAAATGAGGCTCGTTAGCTTGGGACAACAATTCCCCTCGGAGAGAAAACCACAAACTAAACAATTGCTGCCTTGCCTATTATTATTGGGTTGACCAAGGTTTTGGAAGCAATTTCACAAAGAAATAAAAACACTTTGACGTTGCAGTTGACGTGTCGTAATGGTGCATAACATATTGATACGAAATACCAAAATGTGTTGAATGAAATCACCTTTAATTTTTAAATAAAGAGCGAAGAATCAGTTCCAAATAATATATTAAATAAAAACTGTCAATTCCATACAAACCAACATGCTTGTTACTTTTAGACAATATCCGTCTCGTGTGTATAGCTGACTAGTCAGGAAACTTTTACAACAAAGAAGCGCTTCAGCTTGGCATATTTCTGTATATAACAACGTCCTTTTAGCCGCATTAAAATCACAAACATCTTGGCTTAAACTTAACTCAATTGTCGTTATAACAACAAAACCGTATCCAGCAAAATGTCCTGTTTATGTCCCCCACAGGTAGGACTGTACTGCGGCGATATCTGAACGTGGAGACTACAACATCTGACATGTTCACCAAAGATGGCTGGCTAGACACTAACGATGCTGGCTATATGGAGTATGTTTTTTTTTAGGTTTTCTTTTAGAAAATTCCTCTGTTATCAATACTTGCAATTTGTCAGATCTTAAAAAACACTATGTTTACCTTTTCCAATAGTTAGATTTTTTTGACACTTTTAATGTGTGTTTTTAATGACAATGCACTTTTTAAAATTTGAGTTTATTATAAAGGTGGGGAAATATAATTACATGCACACCTAGATGTAAATACATACACATTAGTTAACATTAATTAACACAATTTTTATTGTATTTCTTACAAGCAAAATTTTACTCCAAATACTAAACTGCAAGCTAGTTTGCTCTAACTTAGAACTGTGTTTTATTTTGTTTGTTCTTAAGTGATAAAGGTGGATTGTACGTCATTGGACGTCAATCTGACGTCATTACCGTCGGCCCATATAACATGTACCCGCAGTGGATGGAGGAGAGGATTCAGAAGTGTCCAGGTGTGCAGTCAGTTGTGATTGTAGGTAAGTAGGTCAGTGCTCATCGTAAGGAAGTAGGTCATTGGTCAAATAGGTCAGTTATTGGTGATCATAGGTAAGTAGGTAAGTCAGTGGTAATCGTAGGTAAAATGGGTCAGTCAGTGGTGATCATAGGTAAGTAAGTCAGTCAGTGGTAATCGTAGGTAAAATGGGTCAGGTAGCTGTTACTGTCGATCATTTGTAAATAGTATTTTCAGTGCAGATAACATATATAAATATATAATTTTCTTTTAATTTGGTAAATACGTACGGTCTACTGATATACAGTTATACGATAGAATAGTATTCGTCACACACACACACACACATACACACACACACACACACACACACACATATATATATATATATATATATATATATATATATATATATATATATATATATATATATATATATATATATATATATATATACCCATATGCGTTTTAATGATACAAGTTATATTAAAGCAGCGAATCCCTTACAGGACTGCCCCACCCAGTGACCAGCCAGGAGCTGTGTGTTTGTGTCATCAAGGAGAAGGACGCGACCTTGACCCTGGCCGAGCTGGAGACCTTCTGTCGGGGCATGTTCTTGCCGGGGGCCACCAAGTTTGACGGGGTGCCGGAGAGGTTTGTCTTCATGGACAGTTTCCCGGTACTCGCTAGCGGGAAAGTTTCCAGAAATGGCGTCGCGAAAATGGCCGCCGAATATTTTAAAACAAATTCCTATTGAGACATTCCCACTAATTTATGCTAATTTATACGTCAGCTGTTCCATTTAATCTAGTTGAATCAAGAAGCTTCCTTAGCGCTCTGTCTGGCGGATTAATTATTATTAATTATGTAACTTTTTGAAATTGAGTAATGTATCATTTTATGTTACTTATCTATAAAGTAAATGCGTATTAATTTACTAAATAAAGTTAATTCCCTAAAATAATATTCAGGTGTGTAAATAATACGAATGTCATTCCACTTACGGTGGGGTATTTAATAATCTTTTACATATAAGTGTAACTGTAGACTTATATAATATTGCTGTTACCAGATGGTAAAACCCATGATTAACGTAACTTTATGTATCTAGTTCAGACTTGTCACATGGTACAGACCCATCCCCCCACCCTCACCCAGACAGAGCACAGCCTGGGCTTAGTTTTTACTTTTCTTTCTTCATAGCTGGTTACCTTTTTATTTCCTCAGTGGTATTCTGAAATCTTCAGGTAATCCACGAAATTCTTAAATCTGGTAATCCACGAAATTCTTAAATCTTCAGGTAATCCCCCAATTTCTGAAATCTTCAGGTTAGCCATGATATTCTGAAATTTTCAGGTTAGCCAACATTATCCTGTTTGGTTACCCTAAGCTTTGTGGGCATTTAATCAAAAGGCCAAAAGTTAAAACTTTATAAAATGAGATAGATTTAAAAAAAAGACCTTTATTCTAAAACAAGAAGATTGCAATAACATTTTTATATGTATGCATCTTTAAAAAAATTACATAATATTAAGGAAAACAAAAAAGCACCTTCATAAAAATTTAAAAAAAAAATGAAGTAGACAATAACTTCAGGTCTTAATAAATTAATGCCTAAAGATAAAAGAAAAAATAAATAAATGGCAATTTTGATATCTGTTTGTCTTTTTAACGCTTCTTTCATTCAAACCATTTTTTAAAAAAAATTTACTTTATATTTTTTCTCGAAATAATAAAACTTTTTATAATATAAAGTTTACATTTTTCACGTGCAAGATAACATAATTATCAAATACATCAGAAAATTAATTTGCTTATCATGCCTCGTCTTCTAACTCATGTGCTTTTTTTTTAATTTCCCAAGCATAAAATTTTTCTTGATTTTTGCTTGCTTTATAATTGCAGTTTCACTGAAAAGCTTCACCAGTATTCTTTAAGTTTTAGACCTTTTTGAAATGAAACTGTTCTTTATAGTTATTTGTGAGCTATGTTTCCATTTGTTATTGGTATATAGTTAATGTATTTTATTTACTGAGCAATTCAACCGGAATGTTATGTTTATTTGTTTAACATTAAAATTTTGTTTTGCTATATTGTTACTAGTCTGATTATTTAACTAAACACCTGTTATACTTAATTTAATGAAAAATAAATGTGCATGCTCGTTTATTCCACAAATAACTTTTTAAATATTTAAAAGTTGATTCTATGATTTTAATTAATTGTCAATACACATTTCTAAATTATTCTTTACCCATCGAAGTATGTTGCACTACGAGTAATCCTATAATTTTAGTTGTATGTTAAATAATGTAATATATGATAGTTGTTGCAGTAATACGGTCAATGCTGAAGCTATATGAGCATTGTTTAAATTGTATGTTCAATCTTGAAAAATACGTTTTCAATTTTCATTTTCCATCGCTACAAACATTCTGAAGTCATGTATGCGGAACGCCTTCGTTACTCGAGGAACTTCGAGGCAGTGGCGTAGCGAGGGGGGGGGGGGTTGCGGACCGCACTGGGTTACACCATTTAGGGGGGTGACACCAAGGCAAAAAATAGAAAAATATATAGAGAAAAATGATAATTCCACTTAATTAAGTGATTAATTCGAGTGTTAAATAGTCTTTTAAGAGGTGCAAATCGAAATTTCGAGGGAGGGGGGGGGGTGCAAATCGAAAATTGAAAGTGCCGCACCGGGTGACACCCGGCCTCGCTACTGCTTCGATTACAAGGTTTTGTTTGAAGCCTTATTATTATTAACTTTAGTACCTATTGATTTTCTTTTGGGATTACACAATACTGTATTTGTTGATAAGCTACACAACTATTTTCTTGTAAAAAGGTTTTATATTAATTTTATGGTGAATATGTTGCAAATCTATTGTCTTGTAAATTTTCTTGTAAATGTGTTTACCAGTTTAAAAATGAATGTTGTGTTAATTTTCACCAAGTAACATGTTCAATTTTGCAGCCAATACGGTGCTAATTTCTAAATGGATTTCTGCTATTTATGATGATAAATTGTCTGACACAATTGGATGATAACAAAATTTAAACACGAAAAAACGATTTAAAATTGTTTTTAATGAACTTGTAATAAAAGATTTTCTGTTCAATGACTTGATTCATATATTTAATTTAACATTTAAACATCTTTGAATTATAACATTGTGTAGTGGTTCATTGTGGGGTGAGGGTTGGGGTGGGGGTAGCACCAGAAAATGTATTTTAAGGGTGGTGACATTTAGCAGCATTGGACGGCGTGGTCGAATAATAGCGTGTTCGGCTACTAGCCCAGAGGTGTCGAGTTCGAATCTCGGTTCGGATTCGGGACTGTAGGACGTCCATGAATATACACAGCTCTTCGGGTACCGGACTCACGTTATGGAAAGTAAAGGCGACTGATCACATCATCATTTAATATGCCGAGGTAAGAAACATATGAACTCTACCACATCTGCCATATGGATCTTTATGTCTGAAGGGGAGCTTTACTTACTTTTTTACTTACAGCAGTAAGACGGATATATATATATATATATATATATATATATATATATATATATATATATATATATATATATATATATATATATATATCGTTAAATCATGCGTGCGGGATATTTTTAAAAAGTAATATCTTTAAACTCGGACGGGACATGAAAACTGCCTTTTCTAAAAGTGATAAAAAGCAATTCTTATAACAAATATTTATCACTCAATAAAATGAATTTGCTATCTTCAAAATTGAATACTTTGAATTAAAATGATGAAAGTTAGGTAACTAAATGATAACGACAAGCTGCTTCAATAAAGGTTATGTCCCTTATAAATCGGACTCTCTGAATCTCAATACGTTTCTAAACATTTAAGTACAATCATTATTTATGTTAACTGGCACTAACGAATATTAAGATCAGCAGTATTCGAAAATTATATAATCATCAACAAGTACAATCACATTGATCTTTAAAAGTAAACAACTAATGCGTGATGTTGTAGATCACAGTTATCGCCCCCCCCCCCCCCCCGGGTCACTCAGACTTTAAGCAGACTATCACCAGCAGCCCCAGTAGAGAAGTGGCAGCAGTGTAGTAGACAGGGGTCGCAGGGTTCCCTGTGACGTCAATCAGGGGTCCCATCAGGGCCGAGCAGAGGATGAACCCACAGGGTAACATGGAGGCGACGACGGCAATCACAACACCCGAGTTCTTGTCTCCGTTCTGGAACATTCGGTAGGAAAAGAATGGTCAGTAAGGTACACTTTACTTCCACTAGATGTAATCAAATAAATATTTTATACGGTGTTATTTAATCTTGCAATTACTGCATTATGGTATCAAATATACACTTTTTATACCGTGCTATTTAATCTTCAATTACTGCAGATAGAATAAAAAATACTCTTTTTATACCGTGCTATTAAATCTTGCAAAGTGCTATTTAATCTTGCAATTACTACAGATAGAGTCAATTAAAAAAGTTTAAACTTACAAAAACAGCTAATTTACTCAAACAAACAAAAGTTTTGTATGGATGCCATTTATCATTTACTTTTTCAAGTAACAAAAATGTGATCAATGACCGACAAATCATAAATACTTTTAGTTATAATGGGGGATTCATGAAAAAAAAAATCCTTTAAAAACACTGAATTTATTTATTGACTCGTACATCTAAGCTCAATTTTCTAGATTCACAAATCTTAACACATCTGAATTCACGAATCGATTATTAAAAACTTTGACTATATGCTCCTCAATACATTCATATATTGAAACATATTCACAGAGCTAGTAGCGGCATATATTTAGTGGAATGTTTTTTTCGTCTAGCATCAGTTATTTTTCTTATTAAGACACATTTTTTTTCTTATGAGTTTTGTTTTTTAAGCTACTTCAAATTTAAAATTCTAGAACACGGATGACTGTAATATGTGAATTTTATATTAGTGTTGCTGATATTTATTTGTTATCATATTATCATGACGTGTTACCCATGTACATGATAACAACTGCAATACCTTGACCTTTCAGTTCACGACCTACCAGTTTGAAAGCGAATTGATTGGCTAAGATATAAGGCACAGTCATCGCAGTTGCCCTGAAAAAGCCAGTCCACACAGTTGTTATATAGAAGGCCCATAACTCTGCCGTCAGCGCGCACACCAGGTTTACCGCGACATGGCCGATGCAGATGATGATCATCTCAATTTTCCATCCTGAGGATATATGGGGTTTATATATATATATATATATATATATATATATATATATATATATATATATATATATATATCAATTGTATATATATATATATATATATATATATATATATATATATATATATACATATATATATATATATATATATATATATATATATACATATATATATATATACATATATATATATATATACATATATATACATATATATATATATATATATATATATATATATATATACATATATATATATATATATATATATATATATATATATATATATATATATATATATGCGTATGTGTATGTGGTTGTGACACAAATTCCTGTTTAATGCATTGTTGAAAAAAAAGTGATAAAAACCACTGCCTAAGTAAACCAAAATATAGAATTATAAATAAAATAAAATATTCAAACACATGCGTTAATTTTATTTTTGTGTTTTTGATGAGGAATTTAATCCATTTAGGTGTCAGGGAGAGAGAGAAAGCTCCTGTTTTAAAGTGTCTTTAGTTCAACCCCTAACCCACCTCCCTACGTTCAGACATTTTGTCCAAGAGTTGGAGATTTCGGCCCAAGCTCGCGATGATCCCCAAGAGATCACTAAAACAAACACTGCATCTTACCAATTTTACGTAGCAAGAACTCTTGGAAAACATTGAAGACAATGAAAGAGATGTAGTAAATCAAAGTCCCACTGGATCCTATCTCAATCCCTCTCACATAGTTTTTGTACTGCTGGCTGTTGGTGTCAGCTTGGGGGTCACCGTCCAGTATGCCTTCACCTAAATTATGGAAAAAATTAATTCTAAACATTTGGTATATATGTCAACTAAACATACTTTACTTAACTGTGGTCAGTTGTTCGGGGAGCTTTAAATGTCTGGCTAGTAAGTTTCATAGACAGAAAAATTATAGGCTATGTCACAATATTGTTAACAAATTCAAGATTTGTATATGCATGTTCTGTAAATCACCAATAACAAACAACAATGATATAAAGGATGTATGTCTGCATGTTTAAGTAGAGTTATCTTTGGTTCATCGAATCTCATCTACAACGGTGTACGTAGCATCTCAGAACTACAACATTGACATTACCTTTAAAAGTTAACCACACCGCACCCACAAAATTGAATTTATACCATCTGCAAAGTTGACCGACATTCATTACAGATGTCACCACATCAACCTACCGAATTGACAACATCTCACCTACAAAGCTGACCACACCTCACTTTGATAAGTTGACATCACCTCCCACCTACAAAGTTGACCAAAACTCACCCACAAAGTTGACCACATCTCACCTACAAAGTTGACCAAAACTCACCTACAAAGTTGACCACATGTCACCTACAAAGTTGACCACACCTCACCTACAAAGCTGACCACATCTCAACTACAAAGTTGACCACATCTCACTTACAAAGTTGACCACATCTCACCTACAAAGCTGACCATATCTCACCTACAAAGTTGACCACATCTCACCTACAAAGCTGACCACATCTCACCTACAAAGTTAACCACACCTCACCTACAACGTTGACCACACCTCACCTACAAAGCTGACCACACCTCACCTACAAAGTTGACCACATAGACCTCATACGAGTACAGCGACCCCATCAGAAAGAAGGCCGATATGTTGATGATGATCTGATCTTTCTGTCGCCGCACAAACCCCAACACACCAGACTTTGTTGGCGGCTCTTCTTTATGCACAAACTTAGTTTGGTCTTCACTGAAACAAATGTAATATCTTTGATAGAATGTTTTATCTATTTTTTTTTCCGACAATGTTGTAAAATACTTATAGCGTAGATAATAGAAGTCGTGAGCTATCTGGAAATCACAGGAAATATTATGTATCCAGTTTGATATAATCTAAACTAACATCACCGCATAACAAAAAGACACCATCACCACTCAACAGAAACCCAATATAACAAACTAGCTAAAACACAAAATCAGAACATAACAGAAATACAACATCACCAACTAACAGAATTACAACATCACCAACTAACATAGACACACCATCCCCACCTAACAGAGATACAACATCACACCATAACTGTCACACATAACTTAACCAATTAAAAGAAACACACATTATCATTAAATAACTGAAGCAACAGCATTTTATTATACAAGAGCTACAACATGCATATATTTTTTCTGTGTACTTCATTTGAAAATATGTCAAAAAAAAATACAGCCAGCTCCCCACCCCTCCATGAAAATTGCTTATGGCACTAGGCGTATAGGGAGCTTTTTAAAGCGACTATTTGACCCCCGTTAGTTCAAAAACTAAGAGAACTGACACGCTAAAAATAGCTCATTTGCAATGTCTTGATTTACCAGACACATTAATGCACCGACCTACAAACATAATTTTGAAAATAGAAAACATAATATTTATCAATGCTTGACTTATTTTCTAAAGGTTCACCGACTTTATCACCTCGCTTTTATTTGTCTAGCGGCCTGGTACAACTAAACTCAGAAACGTAATAAATGGCATTTCCTTAAATGTAAAGTCAGCATAAAACAAATCATATTTAGAAAGAGTGGCGCAAGCAGGATGGTGATTCCAAATGATATATATATATATATATATATATATATATATATATATATATATATATATATATATATATATATATATATATGTGTGTGTGTGTGTGTCTACGTGTAATTGTGTCTTTAAACATTTTTGTATGTATATATATATATATATATATATATATATATATATATATATATATATATATATATATATATTAATACATATATATTTGAGTAGGTTTTGAAAACCTCCCACCTATCCAAGACCCAAATCCTGCCTACGCCTCAGGAGAAACCTACACTTATCAAGGTATGTTTGTCTGATCTTTGTAAGTGGGTCACTGTGACAAGACACATGCGCTATATCAGTGAAAATGAAACTGCGCCCCAAATTTAGCAGTGATGCGGTGTCAATACACGAACTCTAGACCTACTTACAGAGATGGGACGTAGTATGTAAACATGTGACATGCATGTAGAAGATGATAAACACTGGCATGCTGTTACACAGAGAAAATGTTAGACACAGGCAGGGGGTAACACGGAGCAGGTAACACAATAATACTGCTATCTGGAGGAGGTAACAAATTGTGCTATGTGGTCAAGGTAACGTCATAAACCGCTGCATGGTGGGTGCTATGTGGTAATGATACAACAATGAACCACAGCATGATGCTATGTGAAGGAAATAACACATAGTGCTATGTGGTAAAAAAATACATAATAGAACCACAGTGTTGTGTTTGTGGAGGAAAAAAACATCATAGGACATCATAGAACTACATCATGGTGCGATGTGGAGGTGATAAAACATAGTGCTATGTGGTAAAGATACATCATGGGACATTATACAACCACATCATGGTGCTATGTGGAGGTGATAACACATAGAGGAAACAAGAACACAGATGTACATTAGAAAGAATATACCTTATCGTATAAAACTTTCATCAAAAGTATTACTTTAAAAAAAATACTCATTCGTTATTAAATGCTGTTCTTAAAAAAAACAAGATTGAAAGCTTAAAACATACTTAACTATTTCTTCATAGGGCGAACTACTAGACGGCGAGCAGCAAAATCCAGTGGTCAGCGTGATGGTCAGTCCTGATGCCACCAGCACAAAACACAAGGCTGAGAGGAAGGCACTCTGGGCGGCGTTGATGTCATGTGACGTTCCAGCGGTCAGTCTGGTGCCAAGACCAATAGACCCTAGTATTGCAATGAGACATCCGCCTGGTCGAAATAAAATACTTTGAGTCAAGATGAGGAAATGGTTGTTAAGATTACAATAGGTAGGAAAAGTGGTTCCAAAAGTGGTTCCACTTTGTGTTGCCAGAAAGCATATTTTTGAACCAAAATTGAATATTTTATAACATTTGTGAAATAAGTACAAAGTCACTTCCGGTTTTACTAAGGCTAGACATATTTAAACACAAAATTACTAATAATATAATAGTAATTTACCAAACATTTTTATTTTTATTTGGATTAGTATAGTCAGGGTGTTGTGGTACAAGGGGATGTTATATTATTTAATATAAATAAACTACTAGGCTATATTCCATTGTAATAATAAGTAAAGCGTAATTAATATCAACATTTAATATAGGCCTAATCAATCTAGATCGACCTCTGACTATGGGGTCATCTATTAACGATGTCACAACGATGCAAGACCTCCCCCTTCCCCAAAAAAGTAAACCTAAGCCAACCCCCCCCCCCCCCCCCGCTATTTTGTTTTTAAAGCAGTGATTTTCATAAAATATTTAGACCTATGGGCTTTTCCAACATTCAATGTAGGCCTATTGATGAATTATTTTATAACAATTTATAAAACAACTTTTAATAATGCAAATAAGGGCTTAAATTCAGTTTCTTAACATGAGTGTTTGTTGAACATGGAAAAGTGTCATCTTACTTTCTGAACCCCCTCCCGCTTGACCAGAGGCGTAGCGACCCTTGCCGGCGCCAAACCTTTAGATTTGCACCCCCCTCAAGATTTCGATTTGCACCCCTCTCAACCTTTTCAATTTATTTTTCCAACCCATTTTGGCGCCCCCTAAGGTCGGCGCCCGGGGTCATATGTCGTCGTCCCCCCCCCCCGTCCCCCCCCCGCTATGCTACTGCCCTTGACTCAAAGGTCCAAATCTCCCCCACCACCTCAAAGTCCGAGACCACTACAACATTTTGCTATAATTTATAGGATATTCATTAATTAGTCATACAAACCTAATTACATTTGTTGTTTTGATGGTATCTCTGCCATTACAATTATTAAATAGTTTATCTTTACTGAACATTTCCCCTAACCTCATTTGCTACAGCTGCCTATCCTTATAGAAAACATATTTTCCTCAAATATCTGGAATGCATCTGATCAGCAAGTCTTTTTCTTTTGTAATATATAAACTAATACATGTTCATAAACTTGCACAGCCAATAACAACACATTACCAGGAAACAGGCAGTGATTATAGTTTGTTGTATTTGTGGTTGATGGTTAGTTATCAGCCATATTTCTCTAAGCTTGGTCTACATTTATATGCTGGTATTTGTGGTATGGCTAGAATTGAGAAAAACCTATATTCTTGATACTTCCCTTATCATTATGTTTTACAGCTATGATAGATATATGCAAATGTAAGACTTATAGTGGGACTACATATATTGTGAACACCTTTGCTAAAGCAAAAGTTCTTGAGTTGAAATTTTAATCCTTTAGGTTGTCTCTGATTCAAATTCAAAGCAGCTTTAACTGGTACCTGACTGGTTATGGACAGTAAAACTTAGTAAAAGCTGTTTGACATTTTGCTGACCGTACAATTTATTAATATGGAAGGGCAACAAAACTAGGTGAAATCTACTTCAGCACCATATTCTTAAAAACTATTTATAGTTCGCCAGTTTAAGTTAATTATTGAATAAAGGTAGCAATAATTAGTTTCCGCATACACCAGCACACACAACCAGTGCTGAAAAAAAAACATAACAAAGTTTATATTTTCTTTTTTTAATTACCATATTCATTCAGAATATTAAAAAAATAATTGTTCAATATGAACAAGTTTTCTTGGGTCCAACATCTATCCTTGGATCAGTTTTTCAATTGAGCTTCATCTTGACTTTTGTCTTCTCTGTATGCAGTTGTATAATCCACAGTATCTAAAAAAAAAACAAATGAATTTCATAAACTGTTATATTAAACTCATTATGTTTACATACTTTCAACTCTTAATGTTATAAATAAAAATATGTGTCTGTCTTATAAAGATCATAAAGCAATGATGTGTATTTATGTATTGGATTGTATGGGCTATCTAACCATTACCATTCATTAAAAATATAGGTCTAATAGTTTACTTTTAATATTTTAATGTAAGGAGTTTGTCATAAAATACAATAGGCCTTCAAAAGAGTCCAAAAGTCATGTATATATCATTAAAAAAAAGAAAAAGGTATCAATAAAGATCTACTACTTATGTTTAGCCACCTCAGGAATTAGTTGAAAATTGATATTCAAACTAGGCTACTATAACTATCATTAATTCATACACATACTAGGATAAATATTAGGATCATTATATTAATTTGATTAGTAAGTTAATCCATCTATGACAATTGACACCTTTTGGCTTTATCAACTATTCTGCATTTTAAATTCTAAAGATCACTATATAATACTAAGAGTAGATTAAGTCATATATTAAGTTAATTAAGTAGAACTGAAATAAGACAGCTCTTTACTAATAAGCCTACTCTTCTATTCAGTAATTTTTACTATTATTATTAGAGGCCTAAAATTACTGTTAGACTACTAATCTAGATTAAACTTAAATTTTGGATATTATTTAATGTACTAGTCTGTAACCTTTTATTTAGGCTACATGTAATTTTTACAAGTTTAAAATTGTAGCCTTATTAAGCCTAGTTAACTTTGCTTAACTTACATACAAATACTAAATACCTACCCAATCACAGGCCTACTAGACTACTACTAAGCTACTACATCTAAATCTACAGTCTAGATAGGCCTACTGAACTATAAGTAATATGACAACTGTAAAAATTAAGCATACTTTATTTTTTTTACAATACTATTTTAAGCCTATAGACCTACTGCTATTAAATATGAATCTATTAGTTATTAGACTAACATAAGTCATCATAAGTCTAATTAGTAATTACCTCTAACTAGGCCCTAATCATATTAACAAAGAAAGTATTAGTATTAGGACTGTCATCTGTACCATAGAATACTACTACTATAGTAAATATATTTTAACAAGTAGGCTCTAACAAATTAGACTAATCATTTATTAGACTAGGCGTATGTAGTGCCCTACTAACTAATTACTAAGGACTAAGATTAACTATTTACTATATGACTAGTCTATAAAACTAGTTTATACCAGCTACACATTTATAATATAAACTATGGGCCTAATTTATTTAACTTATCTATTATTACTATTAACTTAAAATACTTCAATATACTTATTGAATTATTTAATATAGATTTTTATAAATATATTACTTCTAGATCTAGACTAGAGTAGATCTCTTATTCTCTACTACTTGACTTATACTCAGGGGCGTAGCGAGGGGGGGGCGGGGGGTGCGGACCGCACCGGGTGACACCATTTAGGGGGGTGACACCAAGGCAAAAAATAGCAAAATATAGAGAGAAAAACTCGAGGGGGGGTGCAAATCGAAAGTTTGAGGGGGGGGGGGGTGCAAATCGAAAACTCGAGGGGGGGGTGCAAATCGAAAATTTGAAAGTTTGTCCCTGGGAAGGGTCTCTATGCCTCTGGGGGGGGGGGGGTGACACCATTAAGTGCCGCACCGGGTGACACCCGACCTCGCTACGCCACTGCTTATACTTAATAGATCTACTGTCGTACAATATAAAGTTACTTAACTATAAGATCTATAGATCTAGTTAGTATTAGTTATTAGTATTATATATAAAGTATTATTGAGTATTAAGTTTATAAATTAGAATAGATCTAGATCTAGATCTAGTGTTTTTATATTTAATAAATAATTAAACATATTAAAAAGCCGTAACATACTAGTAGATCTAGAACTAGATCTACTACTAGATTCTAGACTAGATCTAGATTCTAGATCTAGAAATCTAGATCTAGAATCTAGATTCAAGACTAGATCTAGATCTAGATAATAATTAAATTAAATAGATACTTGATTCTAGATATAGATCTAGATCTAGATCTAGAATAGATCTCTAGACTCTAGAGTACTCCTCCTAGAATCTAGTACTAGATTCTCGATATAAATCTATTTTAGTCTAGATAATCTAGATCTAGATTAGATCTCTAGGTCTAGATCTAGAATCTAGAAACGTATGGCTTGATTCTAGATCTCTAGCTTTTCGAGCACTCACAGAACTTACAGACTTACACTAGTGAGTAGTCACAGGCCTAACAAAAATAATGAAACATGCGTTAAAAACATTCTACAAAAACATTGGTAACAATTAATAAGAATAATGTTAGATATTAGTAATCTGAGCATAACAGTCATAAAAAAATAAGCCAACTATAATGAAAAGGGATACAAACGAATTTTAAAAGCCTGAATCGAACTGAAAATATTCCCTTGTTCGCCATTTTGTTTTCTTGAATCACCTTGTTCGTATTTATCATGGACAATAAATGTTATGACTTTAATCTTTTTACTCTCCCTGGCCACTTCAGTTCAGTTCAAGGTGGGGTTGAGGGCGGTTTTATTAAATATTTAAATTTATACAAAAATTCAAAATCATTTTCAACGGCTTATGTTCAATACAAAAATCTGAAAAGGAGTGTAATCGATGGTTCCTAATCGACTTTAATTTTTAAAATTGTAGCTATAATTTTATCGCTTGCCATATTTAAAATTTTTTTTTTTTAAAAGTTTAGTATGATTACATAGACTTTTCCTACCTATACCACTTGAAACTATTATATTTAGATCAGTACAACTTTTCTTCTTAAACACGTGAGAAAAAAAAACCGTAAACAAGAGTTAAAATATCTCAAAAAAGTTATTTAGATCAGAAATTACGACTGAGAAATAAGGACCTAAATAATATATTGGTGGAGAGGAAAAGCTTAGGATCGTATGAGAAACTTTGAAAATACCATAAACAAACAAGTAAAATCTTTCAACCTACCTAAAGACGAAACGAAACTAGACTGCACGATAATGCTAGATTGTTCCTCTTTTGGCGTCGACGCCAAGGAAAAAGTCTTCAAAAAACAGCAGCTGGAATCATACCCGCAGTCGTTGAGGCTGTAGCCCACCATGGCGATGATGGCGTAGAAATAAATATGTTCACTGCCCGGGGACTTGCTAGAAGATTCTACTGGAAAACCCTGTGTCGTTGTACTAGCGTTCGTCACGTTAGCTGTCGTGGCATTGTGACCATCGTCGTACAAAAGTAGCTTGACGGTGTTGGCTGTGAATATCAGCGAGGTGCCGATCATCTGTATAGACGTGGTGAAGACCAGAATTTTGGCTTTGGAGATTTTGGATTTGGCCCACCTGTCCATGACGTAGCCCAGGGTGGGGATAAACAGCAGGCTACAGGAGGCGCCGACGGTGCCTGGGATGGACGCATACCGGACCGGAACTCCCAGAGTCTGAACATTGGCTATCATTAGGATTACTTCTAGGGTGATGCAAGCCTCGATGCCAATCATGGCCGCCACGAGTAACCACTTCCGGAGCATTGAATACACACTCATGGTGAATGTAAGGATTGTAAACTACCCGTGTTTTATAAACAGAACAATATTTTCTACAGATAAAAAATCACAAATATAATAAACACTAATCTATAACAAATCTTCCATCAGTACGAAATTTCATTCATTGTTCACCAAAATTGTAAAATAGCTAATATAAAAACACCATTGAAATATAAATCCCAATGCTAGTCCAAACCAAGTTAAGCAGGAGCTGATCGCTACCACTCACTGAATCCCCAAGTCAGTCCACCTAACACCTGACAAACACAGACAGGTACACTTGTATTAATTATATCCAGGCCGGGGTTAATTGGATGATGTATTCCCTATCACAATGACACGAGCTCAGCATTTCTCTATCATAAGCTACACAAATAGACGGGCTATTTAAATGTTGACGCAGGATGCGGGACCATCGGTGAAACTAGAATTTTAATTTTTCCTCTCTTTTAATAACCCTCTCTCGAAGTTGTTAAGCTAGTCTCAATGTATGTACATAAAACAATATGGTGTGTAAAAAGTACTACTGTGATCAAAGAGCAATGGTATTAACTCAAATATCTCGTAGATTATTTTAGTCACAAACAAATGTGAATTTCGCATTTAGTGCATTACATAAGGTGTGTCATTTTATTCTGACGAACAATGTTTAAACCTGGCATATAAAAATCTTGTTTGCTTTATGTTTTACCTCAAAAACTAGGACTCACTTGAAGAAATCGAAGATTTCGTGGGAATCAGGAAATTGTTAGCGTGTGTGTGTGTGTGTGTGTGTGTGCTTGTGTGTGTATGTGTGTTTAAATTACTCATGGTGGCAGAAGAGTGTTGTCGTGTATGGGTGTATACATGTTAATGTCTTAAGGAGTCAGAAAATTGTCAGCGTGTTTAGGTGTGTGTTTGTGTGAAAGTCTAGAGGTGTCAGAAAATTAATGTCGTGTGTGTGAGAGAAAATTGGTTACATGTGGTGTGTAATTGCCTCGAGGGTGTCAGCATTTTTTTATGTGTGTGTGTGTGTAGTTACCGTGATGGTGTCAGAAAATTAATTAGTAACGTGTGTGTGTATTTTATGCCAAGGTGTTGTAAATAAATGTATGCGGGTGCGTATATGCCTTGAGGGCGTCAGAATTAAAAGATTCGTTAAATTTATGAGCGTGTAATGTCTAGAGGGTCTCAGAAAATTGGTTACAGGTGTGTATGTGTATACAAAATCCCTTTATGTTGTAGGAAACAATATGTTGTATATGATAAAATCATTGAAAGTCTGGGGAAATGCATGACATACGTGTGTAATAAAAGACTTGATGGTGTGGGGAAATCAGAGGCCTAGCTAGAGGTGGGTGGGTGCGGCGGCCGCCCCGAGAGCCGACACTTAGGATACGCGAAAAGTGGTAGTAACAAAATTTAAAAGCTCATTTTAAGCATAAGTTAATAAAATAAACGACCACAGGACTTTACACACTGATATTTACCAGTCGAGTCCCAAAACAAAAACTGTTTTGGGACTTGGCTGTGAAAATCGTAACCAACATATGAACCTGGAAGAGTGGCACTTTTTCACCAACATGAATAACTATAAATGGGATGGGGGGGGGGGGGGGAAGGGGTAGCATGGTGCAGGAATGGATCGCTACGCCGCTGGGGGGGGGGGATTCATTACTTATATGTGTAATAAAAGCCTTGAAGGTGTGGGGAATTTCATTACATACGTGTGTAATAGAAACATTGAGCTTCTCCAAACATTGTTTACATCCTGGGCCTAGAGCTCGTGAAATTTTCCACGCTGCCAGCCCCTTCTCGTCCTACTTCTCAAACGTACATACTTAAAAAATTCCGTGGATTTTTAAATGCTGACATCAACTGTTGTATAAATCCTAATTTGTTTTACCTACCAATAGTTTATCAGACATACTTTGTCTGTATTTAAACACGCTGTGAGTAAATAAAACAAACTAACTTCAACATACACGACTAGTTCTAAATCCAAATGGTTTAACCAGAAAGCTTTGTCTGTATTTAAAAGACGCTACCAGAAGCTTTAACTAAACCCTAATATAAACATAACGTTTTATAACATACACGACTAGATCTATATCCGAATGGTTTAACTAAACACGCTTTGTCTGTATTTAAAATACGATATGAGAAATTTAACTAAACCCTAACATAAACCAAACTATTTTTTAACATACACGACTAGTTTTATATCCGAATGTGTTGTTACAATCAGCCGAAAACACCCATGTAAAAATGTATTCTGTCACATACTATCGGGAAACCGCTGTGGTATGTAGCAGGTTATGTACTTTTTTTTATCCAACACATTAACTTAATCAATAACAGGAATTAATATCATGAAAGTAAAAACAGGCGAGGTTAATTAGCAATTTAATTTTATTTAACATAGTGAATCGAATACACGCAAAAGAATAAGCGCATTAATTAAGATAAATTATAACCAAGGACACTCAAGTAAATAATACAGAATTTTTTAACATCAACATAACACTAACACACTGCACATTAGAGTAGATATCAACACGTTCGTGACTGAATTAACACACTGTGTAGCTGCCTCAGAATAGGCCTACCAGAATATTGCATTTTAAATGGAAGTGTAACAATAATTATCCACGCTAACTTGAATGTGTCAGGGATATTTTGTCTTGTAGTTGCTTGTAGACTGACCAAGCTGGTGCCTGCTGATGTTTTGTGTTTAACAGGCCTACCGTGACTATCTATGCACATTATTTTCTATTTGAGTATACTCTAGCAAATGTTTATGCAATTTAATGAATAGCTGTATGGCTAACTGGGACGAATTCGGTTAAACTAGACTAACTTTCTCATTCAGCCAATTCTACAATTCCAATTATTGATTGTTTATTATTAACAATTTAGACAATAAAAATGATTCAAATCTACTTTTATAAAAGAATAGTGTGACTCTTCCAAACCTATTTTTAGACAGAAGATAGAGTCAGTCGCCTCCGTCTCTGCTTTAGAAATAAAATGGTGAATGGTCCAAATGTAACTTAGAAAGTGACTCCTCCAACCTTACTTTAAAAAGAAGATGGTGACTCCTCTGTTCAACTTCAGAGAGTAAATTGTGACTCCTCCAACCTTAGTTTAAAAAGAAGATGGTGACTCCTCTGTTCTACCTCAGAGAGTAGATTATGACTGCTCTAACCTTACTTTAAAAAGAAGTTGGTGACTCCTCTGCTCTACCCCAGAGAGTAAATTGTGACTCCTCCACCCTTACTTTAGAAAGAAGATGGTGACTCCTCTGCTCTACCTCAGAGAGTAGATTGTGACTCCTCCACCCTTACTTTAGAAAGAAGATGGTGACTCCTCTGCTCTACCCCAGAGAGTAAATTGTGACTCCTCCACCCTTACTTTAGAAAGAAGATGGTGACTCCTCTTCTCTACCCCAGAGAGTAAATTGTGACTCCTCCACCCTTACTTTAGAAAGAAGATGGTGACTCCTCTGCTCTACCTCAGAGAGTAGATTGTGACTCCTCCACCCTTACTTTAGAAAGAAGATGGTGACTCCTCTGCTCTATCTCAGAGAGTAGATTGTGACTCCTCCAACCTTACTTTAGAAAGAAGATGGTGACTCCTCCAAGGAGGGCGGTGGCCGCCGTGTAATAGATGGGCGTGGCCGGATTTCCTGTGACGTCAATGAGCGGCCCTAGCAACGCCGAGCAGACGAGAAAACCACCTGGCAACATGGACGCCACACAAGCCAGAGCCACCCCTGTGTTCTTCTCTCCACCCTAGAACACAATCAGACATCGGTGAACATCACACTATCAGAACATTAGAGAACATAGCACAATCAGAACATCTGTGAACATCACATAATCAGAACATCGGTGAACATCACACAATCAGAACATTAGAGAACATAGCACAATCAGAACATCGGTGAACATCACACAATCAGAACGTGAGTGAACATAACACAATCAGAACATCACACAATCAGAACATCAGTCGACCTAACACAGTCACAAAGTCATCAACAGGTACATAATAAAAAAATCATCAGGTACAGTATCTTTAGTGTACATAACACACCCAAAACGTGCTCAATAGGTGCAAAAACTATAGTCTACTTGATACAGAAATCAATATGTAAAAGAACTGTAGCTTAGTGCGCTTAGATCAATAACATTTTCAATGAATTCAAAGCTTAAAAAGTAAAGAACATTTAACGAAGTATAGAATCTGAAACAAAGTTGATTGAAAATATATGAAAATAACAATACAATTTCTTCAGTAAAGTAAGGAAACAAAGCTCATTTTACATACGACACTTTTAAACCAATAATTTTTATGGGCAATAAGTGAAAAAATTAATATAATCAATTAACAGAAATAAATTTGTACTGTATTTTTTGCAACTCTTTTATGTAACTGTATTTCTAACAGTGTTGATAGGCCAGTAGTATAAAAAAAATCGCCAACGGCCCAATGGCTAATGAGTCTAAAAACATTATTTCACATTTTTTAAGGTTCAAATAACACACGCGACACGCATGCCTGAACAACAGTAGGAGGAACAGGTGTGAGATGTCAAGGTCATGTAGGGCTCACCACCGTCCCTACCTCAAGGTCACGTGGGTATGTGGTAAGGGAGTTTAGTTCGAGTGGGGCAGGGGTGTTTTTTTTTTGCGTGTTCGATGGGAGCCAGGTGGCCATAGGTGAAAATTAATATACTAAGGTAAATGTGAATCGATCCAAATGGTTTAGTTGATGTGTCATAGAGTTATAGATGCACAGTCATGCTGGGGGGGGGGGGTATAATGTTATAATAACCAGTTTTAAAAACAAAAAGGTGAAGGTTTGCAATTGTAGGACTCCTATTATGTTTCCCAACTTAACGTGTGTCCAAGTTGTCCATAAAGAACCGTGGTCTCGAAAAGTCTTGAGTTCGAACCCTCGGGGAAATGAGGCTCGTTAGCTGTAGACGGCCACTCTTCTAGGAGAGACAACTCCAAAATCAAACATCTGCTGCCTTGTAGTTTGTTCTTGGTTGGACAAAGGCCATGGAAGCCAATAAAAAAAAGCTGGCTGAAATCGGAGTCAACGGCCTAAATGAGAAACTTAAGAATGCGCAATGATTTTGACTAAAATAATGATTATGAGGTTGTAATTTTCCTGATCAATTCGAGTTTTCAAAACTTGAACGTTACCTTGCTGTTACGAGTTTATGCTAATTAATATCAGAGGGAATGACAGACATGCTAATTAGATAACTGTAATCCATATAACAATCGTTATCAGTCTGTGTAATCACTGAAGTCGATATCGCTTTTGTTTGTCAATTGTATCTACAACAACATGTTCGGCGCATGCGCGACTGCATGGGGTGCCACATGTCCTGTGACATCAGGGCTATAAACAAAAATCTCCCACTGACATAATGAACAACTATGTAAAGTAATGGGCTGATTGTCAGCCTCAACCTACCTGATCCAGGGCGAATTGATTAGCCAACACAAAGGGCAAGGTCACGACCGCCATTCTGAAGAAGCCGGTCCAGATAGCGGTCAGATAGAAGGCCCAGAGCTGGGCGGTCATCGCACACAGGAGGTTGATTGTCACGTGACCAGCACATGCAACCATCATCTCAACCCGCCAGCCTGGTGGATACATGGACAGATGGTTAGAGGATATGAAACTGGTAACATTACACACAGGTAGACCACTGGTTAGAGGATATAAAATTATGGTAATACAGAGATAGACCAATGGTTAGAGGATATGCAACTGGTAACATAACACAGAGGTAGATCAATGGTTAGAGGATATGAAACTGGTAACACAACACAGAGGTAGACCATTGGTTAGAGGATATGAAACTGAGGTAACGTAACACACAGGTAACCAATGGTTAGCGGATATAAAACTATGGTAACATAACACAGGTAGACCAATGGTTAGAGGATACGAATATGAAACTGTGGTAACATAATACGGATATACACAATAAAAGAATATACATGCTCATAATTATAGCTATAATGTGTAGATATATGTATGTTAAATTAAATAAACGTATAGTAACAACTTGTGGCTAGACAAATTGTCCAAACATACAATGCACAATTAATGATATTGTTGCTAGACGATTATGTTATACACACTAACAATAACATAATGTAGTTAGAAATAAAGTGTAAAAATGAATTCAAATTGTCGAAGAATTAACACAACATATGTTGTCGTGAATGTTATGTGGCTGTCTGTTGGAGATAATAAATGTCTATTCAAAGATGTAGGTCATTTTTCCACCGCTATCTACAATAAACGTATGAATATCTCGTCACTTAACATACTCACCAACGTTTTATTTCTATAGTAGTTTTCATTAATTAGTACATTCATCAGTTTAATGTGTTGGGTGAGTACAATTAAAATGACGTTCATGACCTATCAAGCTTAAAATATACGGTTTTCAAATGTTTTTGACGCAATTTTTAAACCCACTTGAAATGTCGATGTAAGTTGGAATATTTGGTTTGTAAAGGGTGAACTAAATAAAGTACACTTATAAATAGCATAGATCGCAGTTTACCGACAGCGAGTTTTTACATTAGTAAACCCAAAACTAGTGAGTGTTTCAGAGCAAGTGATGTGTATTTATTGTGTTGGAAAAATTGATGTGCTAATAAACAAAAACAAAGGACTGACTTACAGTTAAATGCACTATTGTTTAAATCAAGTACGGGCAGTTAAACATTAGTATAAGTATGAGTTATTTCAAGGTCTGGTTTGATGCTTTGCTCAGTAAATAATTTATGTGTTAATGTATTTTACGTGAGCGGATTAAAAAGTTGGAACATATTTCGAGATTTAATAAACTTAGAAATACAAAATTGGTATATCCATTGGATATGCTGTACGTAGGGGTCGTCGTGGTCGAGTCGGTAAAGCTCATGGTTGCTAAACCGAAAAGTCTTGAGTTTCGAACCCTCGGGCAGATGAGGCTCGTTAGCTGGGGACAGCCACTCTTCTAGGAGAGACAACTCCAAAATTAAACAACTGCTGCCTTGTAGTTTGTTCTTGGTTGGACAAAGGCTATGGAAGCAAATCCAAAAAGAAAAGCAGGCGGAAATCGGAGTCAATGGCCTCAAAGGCGCATGACCAGTTGACACGTAACGCTTAATTGTGTTGGAGGCGTGGTCGAGTCGGCAAAAAGCCCATGGTTGATAAATTCGAACAAAGTCTCGAGTTCAAAACCCACTGGCAGATAAATCTCGATCACCCTTCAACACTAATAATTAAGAACGAAGAAGAAGAAGAAGATGCTGTACTTGCTCAATACTTAAATAAATAACTACGGTGTTTTAACTCAATATAAGATTGTTAGTAATAAGTCTCGGAACCAAAAACTTGCTTGTATAATTAACTGTAAATTATTATTTCATCGAACAAACACAACTTTACCTCAAATGATGATTATGAATCAGTCATCAGATAAAAAAAAATTGCATAAGTTATTATTCATTAAGGAAACAGCAAATTTCATATGTTACCTTATAAAAGAGTAAGACTTAGTTATCAGTCATTGAACAAAGAAAGCAAACAGAAAAGATAAACCAACCCACGGACCTAGCTTCCGCAGCAAGATCTCCTGGCAGCTGTTAAAGATTGTAAAAGTAACGAAAAATACAAGAGTCCCACTCGATCCTATCTCGATGCCGTCAACGTAGTTTTTATATGCCTGGCTATTTGTGTCGGCCTGTGGGTCTCCTTTTAGGATACCTTCACCTGTATGGACACGTACATATGTTAATGTACATATACAAACGTTATAGAACATATAGGCCTACATATGTCACGGAACACATACATACGTAATAGAACAGATTTCTACGTAATAGAACAGATTTCTATGTTATAGAACAAATATATACGTTATATAACACATAGGCCCACATACGTTACAGAACATATACATACGTTATAAAAAATTGTCTACATTATAGAACATTTACATGTTATAGACAAATACATAGTTTATAGAATATATATATATATATATATATATATATATATATATATATATATATATGCTATTATAACAAATACATACCTTACATAACATATACATAAGGTATAGAAGAAATACATACGTTTCATAAAAAAGCATACTTTATAAAACACATAATTAAGTTATTTAATACATATATACTTTAACAAACATATCCATACATAATAGAACAAATTCCTACGTTATTGAATAAATACATATGTTACAGATAAATACATACGTTCGTTCCAATCCAACACAACCATTAGTCTCGCAACATTGGCTCTTGTAAAAAACCGGCTGCGTATCAGTGTCATGATTAGTACACTGACTATCGTTACAGACCAAAATCTAACAAGAGCCCTTAAGTTTTTTTTTTTAAACTCTACCCCCAACTCAGGTTATAACCTAAATCCCCATGTTATCTTCTGACTGACCTTTACACATAGACATCAAACTATATAAAAAAAATCTCTCTAAACTAACATTGTATTTTCTGAAAGCTATAGTTTTCATTGCAATCGTGGCCACTATACTATTACACTACCAGAGGCGTAGCGATGGGGGGCAGGGGGGGACGTATGTCCCCGGGTGCCGACCTTAGGGGGCGCCAAAATGGGTTATAAAATCAAATTAAAATGTAAATTCAGCTGCATAATTGCAGTTTGAGGGGGAGGGGTGCAAATCGTAAAGTTGAGAGGGGGGTGCAAATCGAAAAGTTGAAGGGGGGAGGGTGCAAAATTGAAAATTTGCTCCCGAGGGGGACGCCAAATTGAAAGTTTGTCCCCGGGCGCCGGGAAGGGTCGCTACGCCTCTGTACACTACGGGTTCATGAAAATATTATAGTAAAAAACACCATATTTGACCCCCACCCAAAACAAAAAAAAAATCTGCTATATTTGTCATAGCAACTCACCAACAAAGTTGACCGAGTATACCTCATAGGAATACAGAGACCCGAACAGGAAAAACGCGGCAATGTTCAGTACAATCTGCTTCTTCTGTCGATGGAGGAATTGTTGGAACCTGACCCACGGGGAGTAGTCGGAGGGGCAGAAGGTTTTGTGGGGCGCGCACTGGTAGCCGTCTGCTTTAGAGAACTTTCGTCCGCTGGTGATGTGTACCACGTGACTGTTCTGTGTGTACCTGCAGCTGCTGGAGAACTTCCGGTGGTCAGGTGAGACCACGATTCTAGAGGTCTCGGTCTCACTGCTGGGACTGTGAGGATTATGTTTTAGATTATTCATTAGGGTCTTAATTTTATATAATTACGTTTCATACAATTAATTAGGTGTTTAAATAGTTCTATAATTATGTTTCAGATGATTCATTAGGCGTCTTAATTGTTCTATAATGAAGTTTCAATTAATTAATAAGGGATATAAATTGTTCTGTAATTATGTTTCAGATACCTCGTTAGCCATACCAGTAGTTAAAATACATAACTAAAGATGTCAATTGGGTAATTTTTTTGAAATATTAAGGCTCTGAAATCGGTCATTTACTGTTAGAGCAATCACAATTTTCTCGTATGGTTGATTAACTACACAAGTTTTTCTAAGTCAACAACGTTTCTAAAATTAATTTATATTTTGTAGTTTTAGTTATTCATAGTTTACTTCATGGTATTGTTGGCATTGTTTTTCAAAAACTCGAATCTCAATTAGTAGGTTTTGGTATAACGAAACGACTGCCATATAACTAAAGTTAATTAACATTAATAAGTTTAAATATAATCAAAGGACCACGGCATATCTAAACCCAATTAAATACATAAAAAACACAGATAACAATTATTTCATCGATTTCCCTACAATACTTCGCACTGTTTCGTTCAAACTTGGGCTATTTGCGTTCTTCAGCCTAATTAATTATGCATTATTAAGAATTAACACATGCTAATTAACATGGGATAAACAATTAACTATCAGCTGCCACCTATCATGTTGAGCTATTTGTGACGACTTTACAGAAAATATTGCCTGCCCATTGTGGGTAAATAAAAAAAATGAAACAACATCTTGATAAAAGGCGCAGCTGATACTAATTTTTATTTCACACAAATAAGATAAGAGAAACTCATTTTTTGTTGTTGTAAAAATACTTTCTTTTAGGTTGACTAACGAGAAAAACTATATATAAATGACGTCACATTCGTCGGGGGGGGGGGGGGGGCGGGGGAAGAGGGGGATCTGTAATTTTGTGACGCTGTTTGATGAGAGGAGGGGTTCAGCTGGTGGGATGCCAGAGGCGTAGTGACCCTTCCCGACGCCCGGGGACAAACTTTCGATTAGCACCCCCCTCGAACTTTTCATTTGCACCCCCTCCTCAAACTTTCAATTTGGCGCCCCGCCTAAGGTCGGCGCCCGGGGACATATGTCCCCCCCGTCCCCCCCCCCCCTCTCGCTACGCCTCTGTGGGATGTCACACGTTTGCAGTATAAAAAAACAACAACAGTGCTTTATAAAAAAAAAACAATGTTAGAAAACGAATGTAAGCCGTTAATTCGCGTTTTAGAAAACTGTTTTAATAAATTGTTAAAGAAATTGATTAAACTACTCTATGTTGACAGAGCTTAGACAAGATTTGGGAAAAAATATCGATGTTTTAAGAAAAAATGCAACTGCAATTTTGAGGAGCGTGTGTGTGTGTGAGGGGGAGGGGTGGGGGGGGGTTGTAGGCTGAGGTATGACGTCATTTTATGGAGGTCTGGCTTTTTGTGACATTGAGTGACGGAGCAAGGGAGGGGGGAATCATTAAAAAAGCGTGACGTCATTTATGAATGACCTTGTATGTCTAAAGCTCAACGTTGCCGTTCATATAATTACAAGGGATATAGCCCATATGAACAGTTACCAGTGTTTCTTTCAGCCATGTCTCGGAGGGGGTTGGGGTGGAAGGGGGGTACCATGTCCCCCTCCTTGCACGAAATAGAAGATATTACATTTTAATAGAGCATATATATTTTAACCATTGTCCGCCCCCCCCCCCCCCCGCTGCAGTGGAAAGTTCACCCCTCCCCAGAACGTTTTTTTTTAAAATCCTGCTTATCTAGTCTTCTGTATACTGATGAAACATTTCATACCAGATCTGTAAGCCAATGCTACAGTATCGTAGTTTGTCTTACAGTAAACTACTGGTGTAGGAATAATTTCAAACTACTCACTCAGCAGTGTCGCAGTCAGCCAAGGCTCTTGTGGGCGGACAGCACAGGCCAGTGGTCAGTGTGGTGGTCAGTCCAGCAGACAGCAGCAAAAAGCACAGAGCTGCCAGCAGAGCGCTTTGGGCGGCGTTCACGTCATGTGACGTACCAGCGGTCAGCATCTCTCCAAGACCAACTGACCCCAGGACGGCAATAACACACCCGCCTGAAATAAACGGACACCTCGGCTGTTTCATTTTTATCTTCACTCACACGAGCTAATTAAGATACTTTAATTACATCTATTTATTAATATCTACTTATTTACATAATATAAATGGATCTCTGTAAATGAGAAAAGCAACGATTGTTAAACACTTGCTTCTTATCATATGTTCTTGTGGGGTTGACCAACACGACGCAGTCAGAACGGATTTGTTAGGCCACAGGCACCGTGAAAAGCCGTCCAGAAACGGTAAAAGCCGTCCAGAGCTCCAGCCTCAAAAACTCTTCTCTCTGGGGCTCGCGGAGTCTGAAATATCTCCGCCAGATTCGACTCGAGAGACACGCGGTCTGTTCATATCCCATCCTATTTGCCTATCCTAAAGAAGACTTGCCATATCAGTATGACTTTGAATAAGTCAAATTGAATCACCCAGATTTGACCATAAGTAAAGAAACACTCTGTACAAATAGGCCTGATAAACTTGACAGTAGCTCAGGGGAACAAGATTCTAATGTTCACTATACATCCTCTGTTTGCCAAGTATATAATACAAGTGTTATATATCAATTTGACGAATACACAAATACACATTATACATCCACAATAAATGTTGTGTTAATAAAAACAACAACAAAAGTATGAAAAATGAAAAATTAGAAAATATGACAAATACACAAACACACATAATATATTCAAAATAAATGTTATGTTAATAGAGAACAATATCATACGAATATGACTATGATAAATTACAAAATGTGTATTTAAGATTGTTCTAAGCATGGATAAAGTTTACAACAACTTCATTTAAATCAAAGTTTAAACATTATTTACTTAAACACTAAAATGAGCAGACCTACAGATAAGATAGATTAAAACGCATCTAATCTAGATGGAAAAACAAAATGCTCACCTATTGAGGAGATAAAGATAGACCTTACGATAATGCTGGAATGTTCTTCTGGTGGAGCCGAGGACAGGGAGAAAGTTTTCAAGAAACAAATGCTGGCATCGTACCCGCAATCCGTCAGACTATACCCCAACATGGCCAAGACGGCGTAGAAAAAAATACCGTCGTCTTCTACAGGCGCAGGGGTCGATGTAATAGTCGTCAGAGACTGGTGTTCGACATGCGTGCCGTTTGCTGTGGTGTACAAGGAATCTTGTCTGAATACACCATTGATTGTACTGATGTTCGTCGAGTTTAGATGCCCGCCTCGGTCGTAGAATAAAAGCTTGATCGAGTTCGCTGTGAATACCAGAACAGTTCCGATAATCTGAAGAGAAACCGTGCTGATTAATATTTTGGCTTTAGCCAGTCTGGTACCCGCCCATTTGTCCGACACGTATCCTAGAACTGGAATCAGCATCAGGCTGCAACAGGCGCCGACGATGCCGGGGATAGAAGAATACTTGACCGCAACTCCAAGTGTCTGGACATTGGCTATCATGAAAATCACTTCCAGAGTTTCACAAGCTTCAATCCCGATCATCGCTGCCACGAGAAGGAATTTCCGGAACCGAAACCCTCCAAACATGATGATTATAATAGTTGCTTCCCCTGATTACAACAGTTACGCCCCTTAACAAGCGAACCCCAAGTTTTGCTACCTGCATGTAGCCTTGTCGAGACGTTCTGAACGCTACAGCGATAACTCGCAATTAAATCGACATGTTTACTGCGTCGGGATCTCGGTGGAAAAAAACAAGTGGTTAAAAAAAAGTTGAGTCTAATGACTTATCCACGATCGGTAACTTCAAAACAAGTCCCATGACAACATCCACATAAATATTGTAGGCAACCTATTTTTTTTTTAATAGGCGGGAAAAAATAGGTTGGTTGGGTTAGAAAAACAATATGAAAGTAGTAGGAGCAATATGGTTGTTTGTTATATAAACGCTGCATGTCGCGTGTTTTGTTTGTTCCAAACGGCAAACAGTTTAAGGGAGATAATCTATAGTAAAGTTAGTATTAGTGAGTTACGTCCCTTTATTTTAAGTGAATTACAGCTCGATCGTTATTAAAGGGGATTAATTAATAAAGGATTGTGTGAGTATCAAATAGGATAGATTGATATAGAGGATTGTGTGGGCATCAGTGTTGTCAAGTCGTACAGCGATTGTGTGGGCATCAGTGTTGTCAAGTCGTACAGCGATTGTGTGGGCATCAGTGTTGTCAAGTCGTACAGCGATTGTGTGGGCATCAGTGTTGTGAAGTCGTACAGCGATTGTGTGGGCATCAGTGTTGTCAAGTCGTACAGCGATTGTGTGGGCAGCAATGTGGTCAAGTCGTATAGCGATTGTGTGGGCAGCAATGTGGTCCAGCGATTGTGTGGGTAGCAATGTGGTCACTTCGTACAGCGATTGTGTGGGCAGCAATGTGGTCAAGTTGTACAGCGATTGTGTGTGCAGCAATGTGGTCAAGTCGTACAGCGATTAAGTGGGTAGTATTGTGGTCAAGTTATGGTAGTGGAATGTGTGGGCAGCAATTTGGTCAATTCGTACAGTGATTGTGTTTCTACAAGTTCTGGCAGGAACAATACTTTAGTCACGTAAGAAACGTGATCTTTGACAAGAAATTTTTGAATTCGTTAACCTTTAATATTTAGATTAGATTTTACTTTCTCGTATAAGTAGTATAGATTAAGTATTATAATATTGCGCACAATAGAAATTGAGCTTTTGGACAAATCTCGACAGTTTTAGTGATTTCCTGTAACGGAAGTGGTATTTTATTCCACTTACTTGTGGACAATAGAGCTTGAGCAACGCTTCAGTTATTTTCCTGTACAATAATTCGCTCCTTTTAGTGGATTCCTATTAACATTTGAGCGATCTCCGGTGATTGGAAACGTTACTTTTCTATATTTTTAATTTTTTGTTACTAGCAGTCATAATTGGATAATTTTATGTCATATTCTAAGAATTTTTCGCATTTATGTGTTTTTGCCAAAAACAATGTTTTAATCACACATTTAATGATTTGTATAGCCCTATTGCACTGCAAGTGTCATTCCAACCCTGTTATACATATTAAGTATACACTTTGTGTAATTTTGGCGGCTGCATTTTTTCTTCACTTTCCACGGGTACCCGTTTTTACGTGAATTAGAGGCCTATTTATTTTTAATCTTACACTTGTTTGGAAAAAATTAATTATTAAACAGTTATTAATCAAAACGCTATGTGCTTTTGATGTTATATGTGTCTTAATTGTTTTATTTTTGCTTTTTGTAAACACTTTTCAAGTACCCTAATTGGAAATGTGTTACTATATTCGAATGTGCTTTTTGTTTACTTTTTTAACCAAAAATTAGTTTAAACATTTACTTCAAACAATATATTATTTTCAACAACAGTCCGTATCTTTAATTCTCCATATATTGCTGAAGATACTAACTTTATAGCCTAGGGAACTGCGCACATGTTGTTTTTTTTTTGTTAAAATACATTAGTACACATTGACATGTTGTTTAATGAAGGGACGCAACTTCAGCATAATAAATTAACCACTAAGTGAATTGGTTGTTTCCCTTTTTTTAGTAATAAAAAAGATAATGATAACGTTGAATTTACTTCTTTATTTAAGTAAATAGGAAGTATTGAATTCATGCAAAAAATTGAAATTTAGATTTTCACAAATCTCGGTGTATTACACCTCCCTGAGTCTGAAAACATAGTTTTGCAATTTTGACCGGAAGTCTGTGTGTGTGTGTGTGTAGTGTGTGTATGTCGTGTGTGTGTGTGTGTGTGTGTGTCTGTAAGAACAATAACCTGAATACCTTTACAGCTAGGGTAATAAAATTTCATATATAAGTATTATATCAACTGTGTAGTTCTATAGCAACATTTTAGCGATTTCCGTAAACCGGAAGTGGAATGAATATTATGTAGTCGATGCTAATCTTAAAACATGTCTATCTTTAAATTAATCTTTTTCATAGTCGCTATTTGTCTCTGTCATTTAACTAAAACTGAAGGCAAAGTAGAGATTGCTTACATCACAACAATAATTGTTTAACTACTAGAACAAGGCGTTGATTGTAGAAAAGATTTTTTCCTTTTATTACGGCAGTGCTTATCGCTTTTGTTGTAAATTAGTTACACATTCACTGTTACACATCAAATGTTCTTACAGATGTGCCATACATCGTTTTTATTGAATATCTGCTATACATTCGTTTTCTTGTAAATTTGGTAAATTAAATTTAAAATGGTTAATGCAATATGTTGGTAGACCACGCCCATCTCCTCCATCATTCAGACTTTAAGCAGACGATCACAAGCAGCCCCAGTAGAGAAGTGGCAGCAGTGTAGTAGACAGGGGTCGCAGGGTTCCCGGTGACGTCAATCAGGGGTCCCATCAGCGCCGAGCAGAGGATGAACCCACAGGGTGACATGGAGGCGACGACGGCAATCACAACACCAGAGTTCTTGTCTCCGTTCTGGAACATTCGATAGGGAAAAAGCAGGTCAATAAGGTACATTTTACAGGGTAACATAGAGACGTAATAGTATCACAACACCCGAGTTCTTGTCTCCGTTCTGGAACATTCGATAGAAAAAAAGCAGGTCCATAAGATACATTGTAATTATCTATAGGGTAACATAGGGACGTATTGCTATCACAGCACCAGAGTTCTTGTCTCCGTGCTGAGACTTCAGAGAGAATAAAATTAAATTTATATGGTGCGTTTTCTTGCCCAAAATGGAATTAAATAAGCAAAAATGTATATGGTGTAATTTTATCTTACAAACACAACAGAAGTAATAAAAAACAGGGTGTCTTTTATGGTGTTATTTAATCTTACAAAAGCATCTTATTAATCTTTCTTCATTAAAAATACAACTAATATGTAGATACTATTTTAAAAAATACAATATTCTAGGCATTGAGGATTTTAAAAAAAAACATTGTTTATAATCGTTGCTGTTATATATATTTTAAATTTTCGTCCACTCCGATTTTTTAATTGCAATATTGCAAGTGATTTCCTCCAACACAATTAAGTATTTCGTGTCAACATATATGCCGTCGACTCGGATTTCTGTTTTCTTTTATGTTTGGATAATGTTAAGTGATAGTTTCATGCTTTGTGAATTACATTTTATTACAATTTTCCTAATAGAAATCACTGCTATCGACCTACCAGTTTGACAGCGAATTGATTAGCTAAGATATAAGGTACAGTCATCACAGTTGCCCTGAAAAAACCAGTCCATACTGCTGTTATATAGAAGGCCCATAACTCTGCCGTTAGCGCGCACACCAAATTGAGGGAGGCATTACCGATACAAATGATCATCATCTCAATTCTCCATCCTGAGGAAAAAATAATATGGTGGTTATATATGCGACACAACAACGAGTTTTTACATACACTAGAGAGGACATATATGACTGTATTACACAATACTTGAATTTATAAGAGTGGTAGCAAAACGTGTTAAATATATGGGCCAAATAAAGCAAGCATAAATACTATTAATATACAAATATATGGGCCAAATAAAGCAAGCATAAACAATATTAATATAAAAATATATAGGCCAAATAAAGCAATCATAAACAATTTTAATATAAAAATATATGGGCCAAATAAAGCAAGCATAAATACTATTAATATAAAAATATATGGGCCAAATAAAGCAAGCATAAATACTATTAATATAAAAATATATGGGCCAAATAAAGCAAGCATAAACAATATTAATATAAAAATATATGGGCCAAATAAAGCAATCATAAACAATATTAATATAAAAATATATGGGCCAAATAAAGCAAGCATAAATACTATTAATATAAAAATATATGGGCCAAATAAAGCAAGCATAAATACTATTAATATAAAAATATATGGGCCAAACAAAGCAAGCATAAACAATATTAATATAAAAATATATGGGCCAAATAAAGCAATAATAAACAATATTAATATAAAAATGTATGGGCCAAATAAAGCAAGCATAAATACTATTAATATAAAAATATATGGGCCAAATAAAGCAAGCATAAATACTATTAATATAAAAATATATGGGCCAAATAAAGCAAGCATAAATACTATTAATATAAAAATATATGTGCCAAATAAAGCAAGCATAAACAATATTAATATAAAAATATATGGGCCAAATAAAGCAAGCATAAACACTATTAATATTAAAATATATGGGCCAAATAAAGCAAGCATAAACACTATTAATATAAAAATATATGGGCCAAATAAAGCAAGCATAAACATTATTAATATAAAAATATATGGGCCAAATAAAGCAAGCATAAACACTATTAATATAAAAATATATGGGCCAAATAAAGCAAGCATAAACATTATTAATATAAAAATATATGGGCCAAATAAAGCAAGCATAAACACTATTAATATTAAAATATATGGGCCAAATAAAGCAAGCATAAACACTATTAATTTAAAAATATATGGGACAGCGTGGTTGGGGGATTGAAAGGTCAACTGCTAGGCGAATACCTCGTGTTCTATCTAACTCATGTTCATGGAAGTGAAGGCGGCTGAGCATCGCATAGTGATGACCACACTATCCCTTCCAATGCCCATGTCACTAAACATTTCAACACTACGTCAGCTGCTATA